ATGGCAACTACTGTGAAGCCATTGCTAGCCCAGCCAGGTCCTGTGATGCATAAAGTCAAGCAACATCAAGAGGGTCCTTCTCCACGAGGGTTTTCAAGAAGACACTGTGCCACCACCAACACCCACAGTGGGACAGGACTTCATCAAACAGCACATCTTTGTGTCAGTCTCCAAACAGACTGATTCATCCATGCATCCAGACAACTAAATTGCAAAAAGCAAACCAGCTTAGCTAAACAAGAAACCCCAACGTTATCGTCTTCAAATCCGAGTGCAAAAACAAGCTTGTCTTCCCCGTCTTTAGCACACAGAAGTAAGTAGATTTTGAAAACAAACTCTACCACACCCATCTGTAAAGAACAAAAAAGAAGTCACCAGAACAATACTCCAAATACAGTATTCTCCCTACGCGGAAGAAACGAACAGCACGTGATGTGTAATAACATCCTTCAGTACATGTCATACAGAGAAACAACAGCTGTGATACTGGCAGGCTGAAAGCTGTTGCCACCATCACTCGATGCCATTGGCAAGGGCACCACCTATTGTTGAGCTACCCAATGCATTCCACCAATGGACACACTGTTTAATTATAGTTTAATGATCTGGGCTGAAATTTTCTGTTTGCCTCAGGCCATATTTTTATTTTACCACACTTCAACTTTCAGCCTTAAAGTTCAAATCATTTTGCTAAGTAAGGACAGACTAAAACACTCCATTTCCCACTTTTAAATAGGGAGAAGGGCTCTCAGAAATCCTCAGTGCCAGAGCAAGCTCCCAGCTGCAAGCAGAAAGAACCTCAGAGCTAGCTCAGCACAGAAGAGAAGTAAGGGCATAGACTGCAACAGAAGCTGGTGACTCAGGATGAACAGTGATAGCAAGGACAGGAGCAAAGCTGGGTCTCCACGATGAACAGCTGTCCTGCCTCCACAAAGAAAGCAACTCCATTAGCAGTACCTCCATTTTAAAACATGACAATTTGAGAGACTGAACCCCAAGATGGACCTTGAGCCATGCTGACAGAGCAGGGAGTCCTAAGGAGTAAGTAAGGAGCACACAACCAACCAGACATTTGCCAATTCTGTGGTCTAGTAGCTGTAGCTCAGAATCAGCCACCTCAGATTTAGGCCAGCATCTGCTAAACTTTCACATGTTCCCCAAACCTGCTTTCCCTGCTCTCTTGAACAGCTTATCAGTTAGGGCTTTGCTGTGCAAATGCAGTCTATTCAAGCTACAAGGCAGTGAAGCCATAGGAATGACCCTGCAGGAGTTAACTCAGGTCCAAGCCAGCTGTCCTCAACCTCAGCTAATAAAACAGGCTTGAGTATAGCCAGCACTTTGCTCTCGTATGCCTTTCCACACACTTCCAGGAACATGACACACAAAAAGCTCACTTGATCTGTACAGAGCAGGCTTGTGAAAAAAGCCAGGCTTACTAGCTCTGAATCCACAATGATACAGCAATGGTGCTTCCTAAGGAGCTACCTATCACTGCCCCTGACCTATAGGGTCTAGCTAAATGAGGTCTATCCAGAACACTTCCTTCCCGCAAACTCTCCTCTTAGACAGTGGCCATACCTCCCCCTCCCCTTGACACATACCCCTCCCTCACTCTCCCACAAGATAAGCTAGACCTGAACAGCATCTCTTCAGCATCTTCAGGCCAAAAAAATCTGAAACCATGACCCTCATTTTCAGTAATGTGAGCATTCAGCACCCACTCACAACACTTAAAATCAGGCCACAAATCTGTTCCTCTTTACGCCCGCAGATGGTTGCTTCATCTCCCTACAGATGGTAAACTGAAGTCACGGCAAGTGGCTTTCATGCAGAACTCCAAGACTACTATCTGACAAAATTTGTCACAAGCTGAAATGTAGTCTTCCAAGGAAAGACAGAAGGCTATACTTGTGGCAAAAATCCTTTATTAAACTAGATTTTGTAAATCCTTTTCACATTAGAAATTTTAAATGCAAATTACAAAACTGTATTTCAGTAAAAAATGAAAGTTACAGTTAACAGCAAAATTACAACTTTATACAAATAAAAAAAGCATTTTTAAATTTTAATTTAAAAATAGACATTTGTATCTTTCCAAGGTACTGGTCCTAAGAGCTTTTACAACTGGTAGCTGCAATACTAGGTGTTTTCACATGCATATTCACATATAGTCATTTAATCTTCTGCAGAGTTTATTTAGCCGAAATAGCAAGAACACTGGGCTTTGTGTGAGCTTTTCTAAGAGAACATGGTACTTCGGAATTGTGGTAAGTCAACCAACTCTTCTTTGTTACAGTGCTCATACTCTGTCCTCTCCCTGGCTTCACAAAGAGCACAATATTGTTCTAGAAATGTGAATTGCATTTGAAGGCATAAGCATCAGTAACATACAGTCTACGTATAATTTCTCATATTACATTTATGATGATCCCTCTTTGCCATTATCAGCAACTAAATTCTTTTCTTGTCTACCCACCACATTTTGTGGCAAGATTAAGTAACGATGTGGTTATTTTTCACCTCCTCAAGTAAAACCTTAAGAGTACATGTTCTGCTAAGCCTGCAAGATTTTCACTGACATTCCACATACCCACAATGGTAATGTTCCAGATGTTCTAGTTCTAGTGATGTTCTAGGTTTTGACTAGAGCATCTGGACATTGTTTAAATGGGAATTCCCAGGTCACAATGGTTTCCAACAGCCACCAAAAAATGCCTGTTAAACTTTGCCTGAGGTGTCCTTCAACAGGCCTACAAAAACATGAAGTTTAAATACAATTGTATCACATACCTTTAAAAGCAGAAGTCATTAAAGTATTGTCAAGGTATCTTGAAATATATTTTTTTTTAAACAATTTTTGCCCCACTACTTTCACAGTCAACGTATTTTTAAACACATTACTCAGGAGAACAACTTTCTTCATTGCACCTCTGGGTCTTTGTTTTTTAATTCACTGTAAGATGATTCATCAATGCTAGCACAATATTAAAAATTTTGTGTGTTTATATATATATATATATATATATACACAAAAAGATACATTTCCTAAATGAAAAATTGGGATAAAGGTCAAAATGTTTTGCAAAAAAGAATCCAAAATCATGTATTAAAAGCTACCAGTCATCACGACCACATGCTGTTGAAGAACAGGATAAAAAGTGGTACACAAAATAGGTATTTTAACAGTCACACGTTATTTCAGAGTGCTGGTGGCAATACTGTTAAGTGCTATTTCAATTAAAAGTATAAGATGATACAGAATTTACACAATACCTCAGGATTCTCACTGATGTAATTGCAAAAGACATCAGAAAGGCTGAAAGTTCTAAAACGTAACCTACTTTGAAATACCATTTTGAAACAATTATATTTGATATAATTAATCCACTGTACATTATAAAACAGTCAAACACAAGGAGTCCAGTGGTTTTTTTTTCTGGACAGTTTGGCTGAAGGCATGGAGATCCTTACTAATAAAAGTCTTTCTTTCTTTCTCTCTGTGCACTGATCTTCTGCTCCATTGTGTATCCAGCTCAGCACAGCTTCTAAGCACATGCTCAAGATCATATGGAAGAAAAAGGCTGAGCTTATTATATTTACTCCGAGCTGGAACTGCAATGACACTCTGAGTTGCCGAAGCTGATAAAGCCTCTGTCACTAATTTCAATAGTTGATCACTTCAGTCAGTGCCCATGTTAATGAATTTAAATCATCATATTCCATTAAAGTTCAGCCTGTGATCACACAACTTTTAACAGGTGAATAATCAATCTATAACCACACAGGGTATTCAGAGTACCTTAGCGAACCCCAACCTGTATTCAAAAGGACAATGGAGAGAAGGAGAGCAAGAAGCACTCCAAATTGCTCTTAAACTATGTACTCCTCTGCTGACTTTGACAGACTGGAGAAAAACCCTCCTAGTAATTGGTGTAGCTGAGGTTTTGCCCCGAACATTTTTATGCATTTATCCAAATAGGTCTAAAAGACGAAAAAGTAATATGGAAGTACACTGAACCTCCTTTTCTGGAGAGTTCTAATCCTCTTCCAGACTACAAGTTTATACAATTTTTAGTCTTTACTCTCTTTTGTCCCCTTGATTTTTATCTTGCAGTAATGACTTTGGAAGAGGCTCAGGAAGTGGTGACTCTTCCGGGAAAGTGAGAGTCAAACTCAATCACGTCCCTTTGCTAAACCAGAAGCAGGTAAAAAGCTGTTTCTCACCTTTGGTAAACTTGTCAACAACTAGATTATGAACAGATGGGCAAGACAACAACTCTTTCTGCTTGTCCTTTGAACTGCAATCTAAGCTGTCTTTGCCCATGTCAGGAAAGGTGTGAATATGCTGAGTGAACCAGAGCCACTCTCAAACCAGACGGAAGTGTTGCCACTTCCCTGTTTACAACCACATCACTGTAGGGCTTGGGCATCCAGCAGCTCAACACACAACACTTCTGAGCACACACTGGCTGGGCAACTCAGCCACCCAAGCCAAACAGTAGGGACTCCACTTTAAAGACTTGCCCCAGAAAGCTGAATCTCCATTCGGTATAAACAGCAGCACCAAGGAAAACCTGTTCAGGAGCAGAAGGAAGTTCCTTGGTCCAAAAGAAAGATCCTAAGTTCGCTGAGGCAATTCTAGCAACTGAACCCCTGGATTTGCTTGTAGTCTGAACTGCTGTCTCAAGTCCAAGTGCCTGACACCTCAGTCCATTTAGGCACTGTCACAGAGGGTGGAGCATGGGCTTCAATACACAGGAGTTCGTGCCATGGGAGAAATGGCTCTGCTAATGCTGTTTGTGGAGCACAGACTTTTTTTGTATTTTACCTACCAGTTACATGATCAGCCCAGAGAGAAAGAAAAAAGAGAAAGGACATGATTCAGACGGACTAAGTACCTCAAAAAATATTATGACTATTATTCCAGTAAAAGTCCCTTTGATTAAATATTATTCAACCAATTCTTCCACTTGAAGTCACCATGAAAAGATTATTGTATTGTGTATGTTGCATTCACTGTGTATATATTACAGTAAATACAGATATTTAGGAAACATATGTTTCAGTTTGTCAGCAACTTACACAGACACATTTTCAAGTGAAACCTATTTCCGTGCACAGAAGCTCCTTGCTTATTACTCCTCATGCACACAAATGGCAGAACTTGCACACATACATGGATTTATACACAAATTCTGTATGCATGTAGTTCCTGGATAAAGATTATTGCAAAAGTGGTTTTAAATGAATAAACCCTCCCCTTAATCCTTAACCTATTAATACTGCTTCTAATACACAACCCATACCTGTTTCTGAAAAAGCCTTACAACAATAATCTGTATGCCTTTCAAGAGGCAAAGACAAATAAAAACAGTAATGCATGCTAGAAGATATTTCTACTTAAAAAGTTTTTGATTGCTTACTGGAAACACTTGCCACAATACTGATGTTTATATTTAAATGGGGGGGAGTGTTTGGGGTTTTCTGTTGTTTTGCTTTTTTACACAGGTATTTCTAGATGCTGATGCAACACCACCACCAATAGAATAACTTTTGTATTCCCAGACTTTCTGGTTAGGCAATTACTACTGTAGTATTAGCATTCACTTTGATGTTAAAAATACATTTAAAATGTCTCACAGACAATCATATTTTCTACAAGGAAATCACCAAATTAAATACACACAGAATGAAGACACGTCACTATTAGACACCTGTAAAGTGAAACAGTACTCAATTTGCTCCACTTAAAAAACCATAAAGGAAAATATGGTTTTAGTCCAGTAGATGTTGAAAAAAGTTAAGGACATCTCCTGCATAAATACTGTAAAATTACAGTATTAGCTATGGGTAAGTAGAGATTGAACTACAGTGTTGTACTTTTCCATTTAATAGATCACAGTAAGTCTGCAAAATTACCAAACTCCCAGCTGGTCTTAATGCACAGTTCTTTATATGCAACATCCATCAGTATCTGGAGAAGTTTAAAATGGAAAAAGGACAACAGAACTGGTCAACCCATCACTAAAAAGTCATGAGACTTTTGAATAAACCTGGAAATATTTAGCACTCAGCTGTAACTGGATTTGAAATATCAGTAGTTGCCCTGTTCCCATCTCCCCCGTGCTCTTCTCAAGGGTTTAGCACAAAGCTCTGAATCACAAAATAACTTCATGTAAAGTACTATGTTGTAAAAGTATAGAATCTACAGCAGTTAAAATGTGTGAGGGTCAGACGACACAGCCTGGGTATACTGAGAAGACAGTTATATTTAAAAATTGTACCTTAACTTCCCTTTAAAACATCATATACTGCTCAGGAGAATTCTTAATCTGCATTTCTGAGACTCCAAATCCTGTGTCTTCTTTTTGCAGGTTCAAAAAAGCACCCATTCCACACAAAAAATTTCTTGGAAACACGCTGACAAAAACACTTGCTGTAAATTGAGACCATTTCTAATAAAATATCATCCTTTAAAACAGATTACAAAATACTATTGCGGTTGTTCAAAAAGTTTTTAGCTGTGATCCAGCACCTCAGTTTCTGTATTCCTCTTCTCGACAATCCTTCAATTCAGCATGACTTTCAGGCAGCCTGGTTTTATTTCAGTGAACCTGTAAACAAGAAAAGATGAAGCTTCAACATGAAAGCTATGTGCAATGCCACCTCCTTCAGCCCTCATCAAACATATGGGAAGTGGTAAAGTTCTCTTGGTCAAGTATGCATGCAGGTGAGAGTCAAGAAATCAGAATCATGTCCTCTGGATGTGACAGTCAAGGATTTTACAGGAGCTGGAGAGGTGAAAAGCTGGGAATAGCAGGAACTAAGAAGAAGATTTAAGGAAAAAAATTGGCTGGCCAATATTCTTGGTTACATTAATTCTGCTCCTCTTTTCCCGCTTCCCTTAGATTCCCTAATTCAAAACAGATTTTCTCCCTTGTCTTCCATAGAAAGCAAGAAGGAAATCAGAAGGGAAGTCTTTGCTGTTTCTGAGTCCCAGCATTAGTCACCTTCACACATTCCTATCAAGAAAAAGCAGCAAGCACACTGCTGCCAACCCAGACTTGTTAAATTGCTGTCCCACATAAGAAGCTAAGCACTAAAGCAGGTATTGGAGACCAATAAAAATCAGGATTAACAACTGAATGGAAATATATAATTAAACTATGTTAGATAAATTTAATTCACAGTGTTTTCATCTATCTCAGAGGAAAGGATCTAACATTTCACAGGTGAAGTGTATAAAATGGCATTATGTCACACATTTGGACTGGATTAATGAACAGCAGACCTACTTTAATCTGAAACAGCAGACCTACCTTGATCTGTTTAGTAGTTTATCAGTATTCTAAAATTAACTTCAATTTTCAGTTAGTTAAACGTGGGCTAAGAAAAAAAATATATCAGTAACACAAATCTAAACTCACCTGAAGTTGTGGCTCGTGAGGTATCTCATAGCTGCTGGTCTGATGCGAGCAACTCCTCCCTGACTATGGCTTCCTCTTCCCGTGATAACACAGAGATACGGTTTACCACCAGTCTGCTGGTACTCTGTTACAGCAGGGATTGTAACGGTTAAGATTTTCCCTGAGCAGAGACTTGGCATTCAGTACGATCTTTCCATCCACTCTTCTGAAAACTCTCACTGGTGATTTAGAACCTTGCTTTCCCATGCTGGCTGTGTCTCTTTTACATAAACATAGCCATTTTCCCCCTCTTCTGAAAAAGATACTCTGAAAAAGCATAGTCAAGCTTTTTAAGTCTAGGTTGCTTGCAATATACATGTTGTGATAATCACAAAATCCTTCTAATTTCATAGCAGCTTTACTCTTTCTGTCATCTGATCCTCACTTGGAATTTATATCCTGTGATCTAAATTAAAATTGCAAAATTAAAAGAAGTGGATGTAACTTAGTTACTTTTTAAGTGACACTTCTCCCTACTGTTTCATGTTTTATCTAAAAATAATGTGAGTAAAGAAATAACATTTTGTTGGATAAAGGAAGGAGGAGGAAAATATAAATCCACCCATTTAAGTCACATTTATTTGGACTAACTTCTGCTATGCTGTGACACGTGGATCAATATATCAACATATCACATGAGATTTATTAGGGCATCTAGCCCTGATAGAAAAGAAACTGCTCCTTTCTCAGAGATCACAGCAGTCTAGATTAACACTTTGAAAAAGAGGAAAAACAGAAATTAAACTGAATTCTCACAAGCCAAGATTTGACAGCTCAAGATTACCAGTTCACATGAAGTCTTTCCCCAAATGCCCTCTCTCAACATTATTTGGGTTTTACATTAGCTTACTGTTAATTCTGCTGACCTGGCATTGATCCCTTTCCCATGTATTCACACTGAACTTTTTTTAAATTGAAGTGACTTAAGTTCAGTTGACTGAACAGAGAGCCCCTACTATTATTTCAGGACTCCTGATGCAAGTGCAGCTCAAGAAATTTAGCTCTAAAAAGCATTAGGTTACAACTTAAAAGTATACAAACGTACAAACGTCATTTTAGGAACAGCACAAGATAATGCAATTTAAGTCTCTGATGTATACTGGAAGAAAAGGATTATCAAAGGCCCTACTGAACACTTTTGCTCCTGCTGTGTGGAGTAGCTGTTTCCAAAAAATTAAGTTTGTGCAGTGGTACCTTGCGTAAGAAATATTTCTTATAGAAGCATTTCCAGTGTGCTTAAATTTATAGGGTAAAGTAATAATGCAGAAAACATATCTCTCTACAGCAAGAACACTCATGAAGTACTTGAACACTCCACCAGGAGAAAAGGCAAGCCCTCAATCAAAACTGCAGAAAATGGCATTTATGGGAGCAGTAGGATTCTGATCTCAAGAGATCCTGCTGGCAAACTGAGAGGGAAGTTACTGACAAATAGCTCAAATCAGACACTTTCATGAAAAAGCTGAAGACAATGTAATCATTGTGGTTGGAATTCCAACATAATGATTTTTCTTTAAAGATTAAAAAAGCAACATAGTTCTGATAAAGCAATGTGAAGTTGGGGAAGGTGGTGCAAAGCAAGACAGAGAGGAAAATGCATCATTGCCATGTCAAAAGAAAAACCAACCAAACCAGCCAACAATTCCATGCCATATATCATAATTTCTTAGCAGAAAATGAGGAGAATAACAACTTGTAGGGGGCAAGAAATATTAGCTTAATCCTACCTTCACTTTTTTCCTGCAGCACTCTGGACAACTGATTCACTGCTTCATCCACATGGAGACCATGCAGATCCAACACATTCATAGGCAGCAAGGAAGTATTTACTTTCTCAAAGATTTGCACAGCAGCTGCATGGTTGGCTTCTTTCATCTTCTGCTCATGAAGGCGACCCTTTATTCATAAGCACAGCAACTATTACATGCCGAGACATAATCTAAGCTCCACACTGCTGGTTTGTTTCAAAATGATAGTACTGGCAGGGTGCTTTTAGCTCACAGTTTGAAGCAGCAAAATTTACAATCCCAACAGAACTTGTAGAAGAGGCTCAGTGAGACCTACTCACAAGGAGATTTCATGAAATCTGTCCTTAAGAAACTAGTCAAAGCTGGCACAACAAAAGCCTTACAAGGAGAAAAACAAGCCAGAAAAGGCACAAAACTGTAAAGTCTTTACAAAAGCTAAAAAGTTACATTCCATGCTGATTTTCAGATTTATTATCTTAACCACAGACTTTTTCTTTCTGTGAATATTTTGCTAAAAATTTAGTGAAGCAATGTCAGAGAAAATGTCCAACAACTCAGGAAAAAACTGCTGAGCGTAGTAGTTGAGGTTAATTCTTCTCAAAGCATTCCCTAAAAAAAAAAAAGTCAAACAAGCCAAAGGCAAACACTCTGAGGTTGATTTTCTTTCTTTCTTTTTAAAGAGTTGCTTATTACCTATCCGTACATTTTTGACAAATCTTTTATGACTGACAAGGTCAATACAGTCCCTGTTGGAATTAGTGGCAAGGAGCAGTACAGGGCTATTCACATTACACAGTGAAGTAACAAATATTTCCTCTGAACCTTACACTGGTAATATCTGAGAGACTGAAGCACCAAATTATGTCTTCAAAGATCTGTAAGCACAATCTGAAAAGGAATGGAAGACTTGACTCCAGGTATTGGACTGAAAAGGACCCAAGAGAATGGAAGTGACAGCCTGTTCTTAAAATGGATCATCTGACATGTATTACATTACAGACATCAGCCCCATAACTCATGCTTGCAGAGGATTCCCAAGATAGGCTAACACCACCAAGCATCAAGTATCATTCATTAATAAAGGTAGCTTAGTGTGCCTTTCTATTACCTGAAAGAAAACATGTAATACATTTCCCCACTGTACTTGTTATGCCTAAGAACAAAAGACAGGACATAGATGTCTATTTAAAATTATGAAGACCTTCATTTAAAATATTTCCAAACTTCAAGAATTTATGAACCAAGAGCATAAAGTGTTCTTTATAAAGACCAATAATCAGTATTTCCTACATACATAGTGACAATCTAAACATTTAGAGTGATGGTATACCAATTGCATGAAAGCTTTTTTAAGATAATAAGCAAATTGAAGTGATTCCATTATTCCATTTTTGTTCTATCATAATGCAACTCCTAGTTAAATTCTTCTATAATGTGACTTCTTAACGATTTCTTATATGCTATTACATCAGAGAAAAGATATTTGTAACAGATTTTTTTAAAGAGTGGTGTGAATCAATGGTCTCACGTGAAGGCACCAAGAAACCAATGTAGGGAACACATTTTGATGTCCCAAGCCTGTCAGTGTTTAAAAGCAGAGATTCCCCAGTGTTGGATAAAGATTTGGCTCGACAGGGTGCCTGAACATCTAGTCTAGGTCATGCTTTGTCTAGAAAGGTAGGACCGGATGATCCTTGAGGTCCCCTCCAACCTGGTATGCTATGATTCTATGATTTATAAGAACAGTTGATACTTACAATAAATGTGATCAACAACGACTAACGGTAATCAAAGTGGTATATACCAAGAAATCTGCTTGAATCAATACCAGAGAGCCTGTGCTCCAAGGCCAGAGCACATAAGACTGATCAGCAGTAGATCTACATTCTAAAACTAGATGGATGGCCAAATCCATGGCATACCACACCTTGTTTATCCCGACCCAAGACAGACTGTAGCTGTAAAGATTGAATGAAGAAGCAAAGACAGCAGGCCCAATCTTGACCAGGATCTACAAAGGATGAAGTAAGCAAGATTCTGAGGCAAAAGATCACATCTTAATACCTGTCTTACTTTTAATACCTGTCCTTTTAATACTCCTAAAAAGTACATAAGACTTCTAAAATAGTTCATCACCAATAAAGAGGAACCCAAGGGACATACGAAGGATTTGAAAACTGCTTTTAGTTGCAGTCCATGTCACAAGTGAATGAACATGGCCAGACCACATGGACAAAATCTTGGTGCTTGCAAGTATTTGGATGTGGGAATGCGATCTATGAGCAAACAAGTACGTATGACTAAGCATTAAATACCATCTTTCAAAAGATCTTGCACTGAATTTGCTTACATCAGCTTCCTGTATTAGTATCATTACTAGTGAAAGACAGTTTACTTGTACGGTGATTCTCAATACAACAATTACATAGGAAACAGTAATTGAGCAAATTTATCAACTCTAGTAGGCACAATGCTTTTCTTGTAACTTCCAATTCAGTATTTAAGTACCTCCACAAATTCAGGAAAAAAAGCACAATGTTTACATTTACCTGATGAGCGTAAAATGCTGCCACAGACTTCATACCAATGCAATGGGCCTCCCCAGCCTTTTTCAAACACTCCTGTCTCTTTTGCTGGTGACAAAAAGCTTCTGCTCTTAAATCATCATATTGTGGATACTCAATTTTTTGAAGTATTTCACTCAAAGGTTCATCCTCTTCCTTACTTTTTTTTGCCTGTAGGAATTCACAATGTCAAAGCTAAGTATGCACTGTAGGGTGTTTTCAATAACACAGATTTGGGTATGTCTGTAACTACTATTTAAAAAAAAAAACAAACAAAACCAACAAACAAACAAAAATACCTTCTTCTCCCAGTTCTTTGCAGCACTGCAGGATGAAACCATTTCACTTTGCTGAACACTTTCTTGAGCTATAACTGTTTTTACAGGATCTGCCTCCAGAACACAGTTCAGAAACTGTTCGGTTTGGTCTAAAGAGTAGCTGTGAAGGATAAGTAAAATCTGTGACTTTACAAATCTATGAATAACTTCTACATTTATTAAAATACATATTACAAACCTTGATATTGTTACAGAAATAGATTACAATGGAAATAAAGCATTGGAATGGAATTTTCCACCTTACTACAAAAAGACTTGAAGGCTCACTGTACTGTACTACTGGCACCAACACACATGCAGCCTTGGTTGACTGAACTGTAATTATGGGGCACTTGAGTATCTAAAGAACAATGAAATACTAAAGTAAATTGCACCCTACCTTAATCAAACAGACATTAGTTTAGAAGTAAACACTGCTTTTGGCCCAGGTAAGTTACTTCATCTTAAATCTTCTCTGGTCAGGGACAGTAAGTACAAAGTAGTTTAAAACTAGTTCAGTTTTCTGAAACCATTAAAGCAGGGAAATCCTTGTATTTCCAGTCAAGCTTTGTTATTAATGAAATGAGAACAGGACATTAGTAGCCACCAGATTTCTAATAAGCCCTCATTCTTCTTCATTCTTCCTGCTGTTTATTAAGCAGACAAAAAGACTGATCAAAAGTAAAGACAGATTTTTGGAAGGTCAACATTATGAAGGGAATTTAGAATGTGAAAAAGAAGAGATGGTGAAATGTTTGAGCTACAGAAATGTATGAAGGGCATACTTTAAACATTCCACGAGGAAAGGTTTTGGTAACAACATGAAGAAGCAGAAAGACTGACAAGTGTGCATGCAAACCCATATGTAAAGACATTCAATTGGCCAAGGATGAAAAAAAGAAGTCCCTCTTGAAAAAAATTCAGTCCTCATGAATTTGGATTTAAGAAGGTACCCACATACCCCAGAAATATAATGCAGAAGAGAGAATGTCGTCAGAGAGAGATTGAGAAATGGTTCATTTCTTCAGAGCTGCTGTAGCAACCAGAAGAGTATTTACAGCTAACATCAGGTGATGGTAGTTTTTCCTTGGGCAGATGCCATTTCCTGTGAACCCACTATTACCACCTCCACTAATTCCTCGCACTTGATTTAAACCTCAGCTCCACAGCAAATATGCAGTTCCACTGACATTCAGTCAGAGGTCAACCCCCAGAGACATTCTTCTCCCAAGGAAAGAAACTGTTTACTCTCCCATAAAAGAAACAAGCCTAGACATAGAGTTTTTATGTGCTTTTTGCTTTTTACAAAAGCTAGTTTTGCTCTTATGTGGATCCACAAAAGTCTGCTAGTTTGGAAAAAGCCATTCTCTAACAATATCTTAACTCCTAATATTTAAGACAGTAACTGTGCAATACAGAGCGTTACCAAATACCATTTTTACAAAGAACTTAAAAGATTTCTTACTTATTGTCCTTGAAGATATCCATTAAAAAATCTTGACTAATAGTTGGAAACATCTCAAAAAGTTGCTTCTCCTTTAGTTTAGCAGCACAGTCTTTTCTAGCCATACAAGGAACACGATTCTACCCAGAAGACAAAGAAAAAATATTAAAAGTTCTTGATTAGAACAAAATACAGTAATAGAGGAGCCAATCTAATTTCACTGTTATTTGTTAAGATTTCAAAAAGTATCTACTCAGTATGCACCCACAGCAAAGACAACACACCAATACCAGCTGTCACACTGACTTGATGAGATTAAAGCAGGGACAGGTGAGTTGTATTATACTGTACAGTATATGTATTACACTGTACTGTATGTTGTATTATATTGTGTTATATTGTACAGTACTCTGCAGTCATTTGAAGTGGAGCTCCCTCATAATGGACAAAGCAAAAGGAGGACTTTTTAGGAGGAATTTAAATTTTGGAATGCTTTCCCTGCTAGTCTATTTAGTGCAATGCTAAGCTTGCACAAAGTCCACTTCTCTACGCTATACTGAAAGCCTGAGGTTGAAACAACATCTTATTATTAAACAGCGTAAACAAATTTGTTGGTGTATCTGAGGCTGTATTGTAATAAATGCTCATATTGTGAAGTCATGCTGAGAAGAAAACCATAATTACAGCCCAGAATAAATGAGACTGATCATTCCAGCACTCAGATTAAAAAAATAAATAAATAAAAAAATACAAACAGAACAAAGCCAAGCTCCACGAATTCAAATTGTAAACAAAGCTGTGAGCATCACAGTTGTTATTATCAGTAACCCACAGTTGCTATTATCAGTAAGCAGTTCAAAGAAAGAATCCACAAACCATTCTTTCAAGTGACAGGCTAATCTATCCAACTTCCTATAACAGTAGAAACAAAGCTCCTCTTTTTTAAGGACAGCTACTTATCAGACAGTAACAAACTAGAAGGCCTGTTCCAAGCAGCTGCCGGCAGTAGAGGGCATATTACAGACAGGGCAACCAGCCAGGGTATGGAAACTGTGTGTAAGATACAGAATTACCAAAAATCTTTTACAAATTACTTTCTTCTGACAAGTGGCTATAGAAACCTGTTTGAGGTTAACCTCAGGTACTTCTTTTAATGTCTCATCTGTTAGGAATGTTGTGGGTTCTCCTTTTAAAAAATATTAAAATCAATCCAATCCACTTCTAAGCAAACAAGGCAGAGAGCCAATTAAGAACAATTAAGAACTGGTTTTGATATTGCTTTACCAGTAAATGTGAGAATTCACACTGATCTTTGGTTTTAGGTGAGTAATCAGAAAAAGAATTCAACCAAACCCAAATGCTAACCTGGAGAGTGAAACACGCCATGATCTGTTTGTGAAACAGCCAAAATGTTACATTTTAAAATGAGAATTTTTAAAAGGGAAACATCTACCACAAGCAAACTCCTGTATCAGGGTAATCAACAATCCCAGTTGGCATGCATTTGTCTCAGACACTTAGGCTGGAATCAGCAGCACAAAGATGAGTCACCAGATAAGACATACTCTGGTTCATTAACAGTAATAAACTTAAATTGTATTAAAAATGGTGCTATTCATACCAGATCCTGTTTCTCCTGAATAGCTATTTCTTCGGAAATTATTTGTCTGAGAGAAACTTTCTGAATCTGAGTATTCCAGTGATCCATAAAAGGGAAAACGTCTGATGTTGCTGGGTTTTTAGTCTGTATGTTGTTAGATGAGCCAGATACCCAGCTCATTTTTTTTTTCTGTATTTTACTGTCTGCAGTCTGAGATAACAGCATTTCTGAGTCATCTGTATCTATCTGCTGAATCACAGTAGGACCTTCACAGGAATAAAAATGAGGAGACAAATAAAGCAGTTATTAGCTTAGTTATACACACAAAGCCAAAATAATTAAGTTTTTCAACCTAGAGGGTTTGGGTTTTTGTTAAAACATTATTATTAATGCTAAAACAGAAAGCAACACATTATTTTCACCTTCCTCATTCTATTTTCTGAAGACTGATCATCTTAATCTATTTTGTAAAACAAAAGCAAAACCATCAGACTACCCCACCAAATTTTCAAGTGCCAAGATGTATCTTACAGCTGTTAACTACTCTGCACACACACTAAAGTGAGGAGGTTTGATTACTTTTATAGGTGAATTATTGACTCATGTGTTTACATGTTTAACTGCCTTTCCTCTACAATTTAAGGACAGATGCTTAACAACCTGTTAATTTACACTTCTAGAAGTTAATGCAAACAGCACTGTTTGGTCATTCCAAACAGCACAGAGTTTGCACCCACACTGCAATCTGTCCTGGGTTCAGTTGCAGCAGTCATTTTTCTCCTTCTTTATCTGACTTGGCTTGTTGGCACTGCACCAGCTACTACAGAGAAGAAAAATGACTGCTACAGCTGAACCCAGGACACAATCCAAGTCTCCACCCAGGTCTCATGCAAAAGTAGTGGGATCGACTGTAGGGGACATTTCTTCTGGGAACTGAATGAAAACTGGACTGCCAGAGATCTCAATACTTTTTGAACAAGGCATACATCTTCATGCTACAATCAATTCCCCTGACAAAGACAACAACATGAGAATGATGTTGTAGTCCTGACCTTCCTTCCCTCACCTACAGAAATCTCACTCTGCTAGTAATTCTCTGGCTGCACCTTTCCTTGCTATAGAGATTACAGAAGTCAGACCTAACAGCTATGTGATCCAGGCAGAGCTTCTTTATAAGTTCACTGAAGTATACAAAATGATAAGCTTTTTGCTTGCAGCTACCTAGGTCTAGTGATTCTGCTTATAATTAACTTCCTTTTCCCCACACTCCTCTGTAAAAGAATGGTAAATGGAACTCGGAGCAATAAATAAAAGCTTAGCTTAATAAATGAACTCATCATTTTTGCAACAGACAAAATGTTTGCAAACTCACTGAAGTTTCAAAGAATACTTTTATAATGAGCATTAAGTATCTTTACAAGATATTAATCTTGTAGATAAGAAATACATAACTTACCTTCTGCAGACAACTTACATGATTCATCTCTCCTCCGACGCTTCTAAATAAAAACAGTAAAACCATGAATGTTGTAAGAAAGCTATAAATTTTGCAGTGCAACTTTGCAAGTGTTAGCTTCTAAGTAAGCCAGCTTCGAAAGAATGCCTCACAGTATTTCTCAAAGATTGGCTATCTTAGAAGTACATTTAAGAAAAATGATTATTAAGTTTAAAAGACAGAACTATCTTTCCAAAAACATCAAGCTAGAGGAACATGCCCTGCTGCTAAAATTTCATAACCTTAATTAAATAAACGAAACAAAAAATTTGCCAAAAGCATTCAGTTTCATAAGGCTATGAAGGAAGGGAGGTTAGAGAACTCTTCTCAACTAATGTACACAGAGATGTTTTGTATATACATCTATTCATAAAGCAACTCTTCTTACATGTCAAAAAGCCAGCAATTATTTTTGGCCAGTGGAATTTTTGATCAATCTTGTAGTGAAATTGTGCATTATGGTCCTTCTCTTTTAAGAACCCTGGCTTCATGCTGAGGCACTCATGACATGCAGTTTCTTCATCCCTTCAACTGTCTTACACAGCTCTGACGATTACGACAGGATGAGCTGATATACTCCACATATTTTACGAACTACCACTGTATGTTATCATTGTTTTTACAAGGATACTTGTATCTTACACATTTAAACCAACACAAATGATCTGACTCAAGCACAAGCATGCAACACCATATTATAAGCAAGAAATCTACTAACCAGAACAGATTCTTTCCATTTCTCATGAATCACTTTGGCCAAATTCAGATCAATATGAACCACACAATCCTCAAGAGTTAGTGATCCTTATGGAACAAAGAAAATACATTTGTTAAAGCTATAAAAATCTATAAAAACTTATCTAAGCAATTAAAATGCAGCAGCCTACACTTTTAATTTGAATTCTGTAGATTCTGCACAAACTGTCATACCTGAAAAAAACCTCAGCAACTGCCAAGATAAACAGATAAATAAATACATTAGCATTTCACACAGAATCCATTATCTGTGTTCAAAAACTCTAACAGGGTAGAAAAAAGCCAAGTTAACATGAATTGTATGTTACTACATTTTCCTTTTTTACATTTTTGCTACCAGAACCTTCTTTTACAAACCCACTGGTAATTTATAACCACAGTTTCATTCGTGAAACTGTGATTTCCTCTGTTCTATTGTAATCCACATGCAACTGCTTTTATGGAACACAACATACTTGCCACTGCCCAACAGCAGTCACAAGCCTCCCTTCAAATACATAAGCTCAGAGAAGCAAACTCCAAGTCAGCCCTCTAACTCTAAATGAAACAGCAGGAATTATCATGGTATCATACTTTTTTCCCCCTAAAAGATCTTTCTGATAACGTTTCTCACCCTTTCAAAACTAAAAAGTCAGTAAGTACGTATGTATCAAGCAGAAAGGCGTAATTCTATGAATTCAGACACAACACCTTTCTGCTACCAAGTTGGTACTTTTTTGGAGGAGGTAGGCATGGAAGGCAAAGAGGCCAGCAGTCAAACCACCAATCACAAATTCACATCACATAATCTTCAGGAGAAAAAGATAAATAAAAAAGGGACGAGGGAGCAGAAGAGAGAGGGAGGGAGAACAAACAAGCTACATACTCCCTGTGTTTTCTTCCTTTTTCTATCAGTCTAACTTCTGTGATGCATGCTCAAGCTGCTTACAGCTTCCTTCATCATAGTCTCTCAGCAGACTAGTCTCTTTTAATCTTTTACATCTTTTAAATATAGTTGCCCTTTATCTTCTCTCTAAACAATTCATCTTGTCCTTCCCCACTTTAACTGATGCCTAAAGCTTTTTCCTAGCCAGTCACTGTTTGCATCTTCCTCATCATATTAATATCCCTTCAGAATATGAATATAGGCTCAAAGCCTATTGCTCAAAAGGCAAATAAGCCAATATATTTTCTTATGCTTTTAAAGTATGTGCATGTACAAAAAGACAAAGGCAGAAGGTAGCACTACTGCATCTGTATTTTATGCCACACTTAGTTCAGGTCCAATTTTGGATTAACAGCAACAAAAAACAGTATCATAATGCATTGTGCAAATCCATTCCCTAAAAACCAAGCATGAAGGAAAAAAAGCAGAGGCAAAAGAAGAAAGGTTTTCTCACCCAAACTGAGGGGTTTTGCTGTTTGGAGTTGTTTGTTTTTTTGATATAAAAATATGGATACGATTATGCCCATACCTGCATCAATGCCAACAGGCCCAAATATTTCTTTCAATTGGAGTGCCAGTTCAGGAGGTAATGTTAGTTCTAGGCAATCTATATTGAAGGCTGCATGTGATGCTGGTATAGGACTTTGTATCTTGGCTTTGGCTTCATCCCTGCTTGGAGTTTCAATTTCTTCTCTACCATGTATCTCTCTGAAACTCCCGTGGGTTTCCAGTTCTTCATCATTCTTAGGACCAAACAGAGGTGCATGATCCACTTCTAGTAACGAAGTCATCACTTTGGAATTTTCTGCATTGCATTCCGAAGGGTTACTGTCACTCTCGTTATTTAGTTCAAATTTCAAATTGGTAGAAGCTGTGTTAGGACCATGAGGCAGAGTCATGGGTACACTGAAACCTGCATCAGGTTGTGAGACTAATGGCTCTAATGGCTTATTTATAGGTTCTTCAACAGGACTCTCAGCTTCTACCTTCTGCTTTCCTGAAACGAACGGCTCAAAGATACCTGCTGCTGAGCTGCCTACATCAGTTCCAGGGGCTGCATCTCCACAGTTCTTCAGTTCTGATGAATCCTTCAGTGAGGTAGCAGTCAATGCATCAGACACATCAACATCCGTCACAGTTGCCTTGGCAGCCTGACTTTCTGCAATGCTGAGTGATGAGTTCTTATCTTCTGAGGGGTTAGAGATATCACCAGCCCCAATTATTTGTGACATTTGTTCACAGTCCTTGAGATTCTCACCGTAGTTTGTACTTGCCTTGAAATCAAGGTCTGCAACAACTGGCTCAGCTTCTCTTACTTGAAAGCATTCAGTGCCAACATCTTTGCATAACTTTTCATCAGAGTCTAAGAGCAGACCTGTGGCCCAGTCTATGTCTTTGTTACATCTTTCATACAGATCTTTCACAGCTTCAAATGAAACAGAATCAAAGAGCTTACACAGCATATTCAGCTTTTCAGACTCATCAATACTGATAAGTTCACTTTCTTCCACAAACGTACTTTTATCATACATAACTCGATAGGGAATTTTTTCCTGAGAATCTGAAACATTACCTACATCTTTGGGTTTGAAGCCATCTAGTCTGCCATGCAATACTCTGGTAGTCTCTGGAAAAAGCATTTTCTTTTCTAACCTCCACAGGAGAGCAAAGTCCTGTGATTCAGTCTGTGAATGGCTACTTTTTTGCCTACACAAGCATGCATCCTGTTTCTCTTCTTCTACATTAAGTGTTGACAAACATTCCTCTTCTCTTGGATGGGGCAAACTGTTATTTGTAAAAGTGAGGGCCAATTTGTGGTGTTTCCTCATTCTCTTATTTTGCTGTGGTTTTCTCTCACCCACTGTTTCACTAGCCTCTGTTTCAGGTTGGTGCGCTTGCAGAGTCTCTGTATCCGGTTGCTCTGTGGCGTTCACAGGTGTCCCATGAAGCACATCTACAGTCTCAAGAGCGTTTCTGTTAATGTCACCTTCAGCATTTCTGTGTTCATCGGACTGATTTAGATTTGTCTTTCTCATTCTCCTTGACCTTTGTTGTCTCTGTTCTAATGAGCCCGTGACAGGCCAATGTCCTATCATTTGCAATTGAGGTGTAACTTTATCTGAATTAACAGAGAAACAGCTAGAGGCTAGGTTTTCTTCCTCATGTCCTTTTTCAACAGTATGGGTCCCAGGCAGGCCTGCTTGCTCTTCACCTAACTCAGGATTCTGTTGACTGGGAGTTTTAACTTCTTTATCACTCTTTAGAAAAGATTTTTCTAGTCTTCTAGCTCTTTTGACTCTCTGTCCCATTGTTTGTTCTACAGGCCAGTCACCCAGAAAGTTCAGTAGTTCTGGTTTTCCTGACATGTCAAAAGCCGAACTGCTTGGTTCTGTTGTGTTACTACTTTCTGTTGATTTTGGTTCTGTACATATTTGGCCAGATTGTTCAACTTCAGTTTGAACTTTGAGAATGTTGTTATCGCTGTGCTCCTCAACTCCTTCTGTATGCAAGCACAGAGTAACTTCAGTTGTGGTCACATCAATCTCATTCTTTTCTGTTTCAGCATTTTTTCCTAGTTTTTCTCCCTTTTCCTCTTTCTTCTCCAAGGGCAGTTCTTTTTCTACATGATCTGACAAACAAACATCCAAGTCATCTTGAACAGTGCTGTCCCCACGATTGCGTTCCACTGAGCTATTTTCAATTTCTTTTTCCTCTTTCTGAAGATGCTCAGGATCATGGTTACTTTCTAATGTTAGAGAAGTACTGGGAAAAGTTCTATCATCTTCAGCTAATTCAAGAGGCCCCAGATCAGAAGCGAAAGGTTCTTCCTTTACATCAGAATGTAATGTCCTGAAAGACAAATTCAAATGAAAGATAAACCCATTTCAAACCTTCTTGTCCACATTTTTATTTTGCCTTGATTATTTAATATTTTCAAATTACAGACCAGAAACCACCTTTTAGGACACTAATCATCCAGCTGGAGATCTCTAATGAGAGAAAGCAAATTTAAGATGACTTAGCCCTAACCTCAACACTTCTTCATAAAAACAGAGCTAAGCAATGCGGAACTTCCCTTGCTAAGTATCTGTTTCTTACTTCAGCGTGGGGTTAAGAATACTTTCTTAAAAGCCTATTTTCCCCCATTCCCAGCATTCAGTTATGTAATGAAGCACAGTGGCTCATGTTCAGCAGCTGCCAGTCAGCACCCCAGGTCCTTTTCCACCAAGCAGCTTTCCAGCCGCTCTTCCCCAAGCCCCTTAGTGTTGCATGAGGTTATTGTGTCCCAAATGCAGGACTCAGCACTTTGCCTTGCTGAACCTCATACCACTGGCCACAGTTCATTGATCCAGCCTGTCCAGGCCCCTCTGCAGAGCCTCCCTATCCTTCAGCAGATCAACACTCCTGCCCAACCTGGTGTTGCCTACAAATTTACTGAGGGCGCACTCAATCCCCTCATCCAGATCCATCAATGAAGATGTTAAACAACACTAGCCCTAACACTGAGCCCTGAGGGACACCACTAGTGACCGGTCGCCAACTAGATGTGACACCATTTATCACCACTCTTTGGGCTCTGTCATCCAGCCAGTTTCCTACCCAGGGAAGAACACACCCATCCAGACCATAAACCATGACCAGCCTGTGTCTCCACGAGAACGCTTTGGGAGACCTGTAGTTCCCAGGGTCTTCATTCCTGCCCTTTCTGTAGAAAGGCATCATGTTGACAAACCTCCAATTCTCTGGGACCTGCCCACTAGACCAGGACTGCTGGTAGATGATGGAGTCTCAGCAAGCTCTTCTGCCATCTCCTTCAGCATTCTTGGGTGTAACCTATCCAGCCCCATAGACTTGTGTACATCTAAGCAGAACAGGAGGTTGCTAAACATTTCTTCCTGAATTACGGGGACTTCAATCAGCTCCTCATCGCTGACACCCAGCTCAGGGAACTCAGTACCCTGAGGATGGCTGGTGTAGCTATTAAAGACTGAGGGCAAAGGCAGCATTAAGTATTTCAGCCTTTTCCTCATCCTCAGTCACTAGATTATCCCCATTATCCAGTACAGGATGGAGGTTCTTGTTGGCCCTCTTTTTATTGCTGACATATTTGTAAAAGTACTTTTTGTTATCTTTTATAGCAGTGGCCAGATTTAGTTCCAGCTGTGTCTTTGCCTTTCTAATTTTCTCCCTGCATAACCTAACAACATCCTTGTACTCCTCATGGGGCAACAGGCCCCGTGTTCCTCTGAGGGTGAAGTAACCAATCACAATCCCTTTTCTTCTTTTTCCTGGTAGAGCTGGTCATGATACAAGGTGTTCTCTGACTCTTCCATGACGACTCTTCTAACCTGGATGATCCCATATCTGCTTCATCATCTTTCTCATTTTCCTCATCCTCACATACCTCTAATCAGTTGTAGAGGGGTATTTGGGAAGGTGACATAAACTGGGGGGTAATACATTGTGTACTCTGAGGAGTAAACTGTTTCCAACCTCCCCTGTCTCCTAGGTCCCCTCCATCTGCCTGGTGTCAAGAGGGTAGGGGATCTTTAATTTGTTTTGGGTGGCTGGCTTGCTTCTCTCAGGGATGGTAAGAGCACAGTTCCACCAGTTTCAAATACATTAAGCATGCAAAACCCAAATGAAATAATAACTATAAATAATCTGATTTCCTACACATTATTATAGGGCATATACACCACTATTCAGATTAGCCACTATGAAACAGTCGTGCATACAACCAACATAAATCTAGACAAGTCTGAACTAAATATACTCAAAAGCAAGTAGATAACTTTCTAATGAACAAAGAATTCACATTCTACCAGAAAAACATAATCTAATAACAACACACAGCCTCAGAAATTGTAATTTGGGACTACATTATTCTGAAAAGCATTTTAGAGATTTTAAGTGGGTTGTATCTACAACATACATCCTATAGCATGTTTCTGATAAGAGAAAGTCAATCAAACACACAGTCACATGGGGAAGTTTTCAAAAAGCAGTGGAAAGTTGCCTAAGGCCCTTGACTGCTCATTTCTAGAAATCCTCAAATTCTTAGAAATTAAGAAAACTATGCAGTGCATTTCTTTTTATTATTTAATTGTTCAACAGCATTATCCAGCTTCCACTGCTACGAAGTTTGAATTTTTACCCTTTTATGCAAGACTACAAAGCTAGTATAAGAATCTAACCTATGGCTTTCCTCCTGACAAGGATCTTCACTCCAGCCAGCAGCTTCTGCTTTGTCTGGGACTGAAGAATCCAATACTGAACTAACAGTAAGGCAGTGTTCATATCGCTCCAACATTCTTTTGATCTTTTCTTTAGAGACACCATGAATGTTTCGCCTATACGTAAAAAAAAAAACAAACCATTTCAGATTTGTATATTAAAATAAGAGAATAATTCAACAATAATTTCATTATAAGTTTACAGCAAAACTAACCAGAGATTTCAGCGGGACGGAGCAAAAGGTGTGAAAGAGCTGTTCTTCTGTATCAGTGCACTAAGGTACTCCACATAGAGTGTGACTCAAACTGCTGCTCCACTTCTCCACCCCACCTGGTGGCCCTGTTCTGCAACTGGGTGATTTGCTTCATACTAAAACTTAAAACTGTACCAATAATGCATCTTCTTCAAACTGGTATCAGAAACACACCATAACAGATCCTGACAGTGATGCAGGATATCAGACTGGGTATGGAAGATTTCTGAATTAACTATTCCTTCTTTGGTTTTGCTAAGAACTCCTTGAGCCTTGAGGAAAACCTATTCACTTATTATTTTGGACACACTTTGGCTGGAGATTTTCAGTGACTCTGTTGAACACCAACTAGGAATATGCTCTGCAGTTGTTCTACCTAGAAGAAGTGGATCCTGACAAGGATGGCAAAACAGAAATTGAAGGTACAGGAGAAAAAGTTTAAGTTCTATATTAGGAGAGAAAATAATCTTCCTTACCACAGTTGAAAAGTGGTCAACCTTAAGCTAGGCATGCCAACTCAGATGACAACAGATACTACGAAATCACAAAACAATTTATGTTGAAAGGGACCCCTGGTGGTCACACAGTCCAACCTCCAACTCAGAGGAGGTACAGCTAGATTATGGTGCCCAGAGCTTTGTCTTGTCAAATTTTGAATATCCTCAGTGACTGAAAGTCTCCAAACTCTCTGGGCAAACTCTTTCAGTGTGTGACCACCCTCAAAACTAAAAATAAAACAAAACAATCAAAGAAAAAACAAACACCCACTTACTTTATGTAATAAAAATTTCCAAAGTTCCACCTTACTTATGTTTGTTTTGCCCTATCCCTGCACCATTCTCAGAAGAGATCTTTTTAGTGTTTTCTGTGACCCCTCAAAAGATAGCTGAAGACAACAACATGGCTCTTCCTTAATGTCCTCTTCTTAAGGCTGAACAAAGTATTCTTGCTCAATTCAGTATCATCTGCCAATCTGCTGAGAGTGCACTATGTTCCAGTATCCAAGTCATAAATAGGAGATTAAATCATGGCCGCCCTAGCATTCATCCTAGAGGTACATCAGCCTCCTCTTGGACTTCAGACCCTTTGAACCTGGCACCCAGCCAATTTTCTAGGTACATATTATTCACTAAGTTTACATCTTGCCTATTTTGGCTCTAAGTAATGGCTCTATGACTGTGTAGAAGGTCCTGCTAAAGACGAGGTAAACAATAATGACAATGCACAGGGGTCTGTCCCTCTCATGAGGTACTGACTGCTTTAAACTCAGTGACAGCAGAAACATTTCAAGTAAGGCAACAGACCAGCCAGATGCAAAACCAGTCTCAACCTGACACCATTTTTGTAACCTCAGGAACCCAAAGGAGCAGTCACTGTACCTTAAATGCAAAAGAACTGCGATCATGAAAACATTACATAATATCTATTGGTTTTGTATACAGTTAGAATAAAGTGACAGTGAAAAAAAAAATCTCATAATGCATATAAAATACCACAAAAGTTAATATTGCGGAAAAAATAATTATTAAAAAGACACTTAATACCACAAAAATCTTTGACTACTTCACCAGCCACTGCACTAAGTGGTACCTTTTTAAAAATCATAGCCTGTGAAAGATATACAATCTAATATGAAATTCTCCTTTACAATCTTACCTTTCAAGTTCTTTGGGTTTAAACTTCCACCATGTGCCTGGTTCTCGGAACACAACTTTGTATTTGAACTGCTGAGCCTGAATAAAACAGATCAAAAAACAGAACAAGCCACATCACCCACCTCTTTTTCCTGTGAACAAGCACACAATACGTACAGCCTGGTTTTTGTGCTAAACATTTGGAATAACATACTTCTGTTCAGTGTTGCACTTCTGCTTATATAAACAGAGATTTTTAAAAATATGTATTTGCTTCTCTTACTGTAAAACTGTGTGCCATGATCACAAAACCAAACAAACAAAAGCATCATTTTATACCCCCCCTTTGAATGTTCTACCTCCTCTGAGTCAAGACTGCAGAACTTCTCCTCTTTCCAGGGATAGTATGCACATCACCAAGAGAGAAAAGCTCTCTGCTTACATTCAGAGCTGACCAGATGCAAGCCAGTTCCAAAACAACCAATTCAGTCACATTAACACAGTTACTGTGGACAGCATCCTGCCATATGGGAAACTTGAGTGGACTGCATGTAAACGGTCCTTACACGGCCTAGTCTCACCATGACAGAAAACAAGCCCAAAGTCTAATCAGGAGAAACACTGAGAGTACTGTGCCACTTCTCTCTGTTACTGTTTTCAGAAATAAATCTTGTTACCTCACCAAACCCTGCACCTCCTGGAAGAACTTTTGTTATATCTTTATTTCAGTATACAGCAAAATCAAGGACTTAATTTATGAAAGAACTATTAATCTGAAAATTGTTAATAAATGCAAGTATAATAAAATAAAAATTCTATTAATAAAATTATCTGCGTTAAGTCCCACTGTATTATCAAAGATAATCCATTACCACATGCAGCATACATACAGTATCCGCTCAAAACCTGGCAGTTCTACATACTACACTCCCTAATGTGTTTACATACCATGGTAGGAGAAATCTGCCTCTATGTCATACTTAGGATGAAACTAAGACTGCGTTTTCAAGTTTCATGGAGCATCAAACATCATTCATTAATTAGTGCTGATCATATTTTAAAAGTAGCTCATAAGTTCACTGATCATATATGAGAGGAACAGAATTCAGTTTCCACAACATTTATTTTTGACCCCAAGCACAAAGCACTTGGTTTTGTCACTTGGAAAATAGGCCACGTCAATACTCTGACACGCACAGAATATGACACTGGGTAATATGATTCCATGTAACACTTTTTTTTTTTTTTGATTCCAGACTTCCTTGTGGAGCAACAGCTAGACTGAGAAAGACAATCTCATTCTAAAACATATGTTGTTGCCATGCTGGTCAATAATCCCTTTTCACGTTGATCAAACTGTAATACTAACCAAAGTAACATAAGGCTTCATCTCCCATGCTTGTATGTTTGTGTTGTCTATTATTATGGGAGAGATTCTCATTTCAAATGCTTCTTTGGCTGAAAGACACATATGCACAAAAGAATGAAATATAGTTAATTTCACTATAAAAGGGTGGACACATAACATTTATACTAATGCTCTAAATTTGTTGTATTTTATAAAGTAGATAATCCATAATGATTAACCACTGTGTAAAGAACTCTCATCACAGCTTATCTGTTTCAAGGCCCTCTTTTTTTTTTCCTTTCAGAAATGCCCCCCTCACATGTAAAGCTACTGGTACAGCATTATTCTTCTGAATTAATGTATGTATGATAATCAAGGAATGAGAACGCAGATGTAAAATGCACCAAGATGACTAATTGATTAGTAAATTCAACTAAAAAACCTACATGATCACATTAAAGTGGACTTTTGTTGCATACAAAATCGTTGACTTTATAGCAGTCTTAAGAATAGTCCACTCTGTAAAACTATATAAAATATGAAAAAGTGAAAGAATTATTGTAGCTTAAATACACAGCAATGAAATGTTTAGAATCAGTAGCTTTGAGATACAGCACGATGTTTCTGTACCTTTGTTACAGTATGTCTGAACAACTGATGTTATCACTGAATCATACATTTCTTACTAACCCATTTCTCCACTGGTTAGAAATTTGATAGTAGAAAACTAATCATGGCTCAAATATAGCAACTAGAAGCTTAAAAATATTGTTCTGTGATACACTTAGTGGGAGCCAATATAAAAACAATAAACCAATTAAGGAAAGGAGAAAAAAAGATTATTTCTTCTGTCTTGTTCTTGTCATTTTAAATTTGTTTTAAATTTGCCAATGATTTAGTGCTTAAAAGAAAAAAATAATCAAGAGCAGGAAATTATCTGTGTAAATGTTATTTGTATCTACATCCTCATTACTTATTGTATATGCATATATAATGGCTCATCTCAGAAGAAGTATTGCTGGGAGATGGTACAGATTAGCACTCCAGAAACAGGACATAACCATGATGAAATCTGAAGCAAAACAATCTTTTGACACAAACACTGGCATTTTTAATTCCAAAATGGACAGATGACTTCTGAGTTTGTGCTCATATTCTTTTTCCACACACATATTAAAAAATACTTCTACAATGGCATAAATGCTTGACCTGTGAGACAGGCATTACAAGACAGGCAGCTTTTAAAACAGCACACAAGCATTGAACTGTAAAGGAGCAAGCTAATCCCTTATTTCTCACCTCGTTTCCTGTTCCAGTCATGTGCTTCCCCTAAGCAATTGGGATCAAATTGGTATTGTCCGTGTTTATAAAAGTAATCATCAGTACTAAGAATGATTCCACCTGGGTTATCCTCAAGCAAAGTCCTGTGAAAGATCAAGAAGTAAATAGGTTTTCCTGCTTCTCCTCCCCAGGCATGTTATCTTCTACCATACATACATGTATTTAGTATCTTGCACTAAACCAAAATTATTTGGAATGGAAGCAGTAAAGGGGGGGAGGGGGGAACGGGACATCCTCCAAAGATGATATATAATAATTTCCTTTCTTTTCCAAAGGCTGGGGGTATCTAGGCAAGAGCTGGCAGAGGTTCCCTGCAAGTCTCATTTCAAAACAATGAGGGAGGTATTTTTCCATCTGCATCTGATGACATACTTTCACACTGACAAATACACACACAGTGTTAATTGCACCCAGTATTTCAGGTGCCAGCCAGAGGAGTCGAAGTTCAAGTTAGGCTTTTGGAGCATTAGAAAAGAAATCAAGAATTCAACCCATGAAGCTCCACACATAGTACTTACACAAAAGAATTCCAACAGTAGAAAGGGAATTTCTGCCTACAAAGAGCTGGCATGTTTTCATTCATGTGATTGGAAGGAAACACCTGAAATGAGCAGGGACCGGAAGAACACAGCAGACCTAATATAATGCAGTGATCCTCTGGTGACACAAACTCCTTTGGCCAGTGACAGCAGTTAAAGCTAACCCTTCATATTTCAATTTCCTTTAGCAGTCAAGGAGCTGCGAGCAACTCAGCTCTCCACAATTATTATTACTCATCATGCTGCATGTACCATGGAGCTGAGATTAGGGTATAAGCATAACTATTTACAAATGTCAGAAAACTGTCTCTGCCTGCACTAATCCTGCTCACAATTAAACAGTTCCTTTTAGAAGCTCACAATATAGATGGTCTACCTTGCCAAATATGATTTTCCTGATCCTGGAACACCTCTGAGAAGAACAAGTACTTGACCTATAAGGTGCATCCTTTTTCTCATCATGTGACAAACAGGTGACTGCTGTGCTTGTGAGAGGTTCAATTTGGAGTTTCTATCTTGATTGTCCTGTAGCTTCAGAGAAGGGCTGCTATCCCAGGCATTTGAAACCACTGGAGAAGAAAAATAATGTTCTTTTTCTGAAGTCCTATAATCTGAAACAGGTCTCCACTGCCCTGGACTGACAGCCACAGGAGTTACAAAGCTGTGACTTCCACTGGATGGATAAAACACAGGAGCCATGAGATTCCAGTGTTGTTGAGGTTGACATGACAGTGGGGAAAAGTTTAAGTTATAACCCTGCTGTTCCAGGCATCTTGAATTAGGATTTCCAGTGACAGCTACTTCAAGTTCCAGAGGTCTTTGGGAGGACTCACCAGAAGCAGCAGTCACACTTTTCTGATCCAAAACAGTATCTTGTGTCTGATCAGAATTTCCACAAGGTACTTCTCCATTGGGTTGTTTATAGACTTCTGAAGCCACATCATGCTGAGCATGTATTTCTGACAAATCGGAATCTCCCTGTATTTGTGCAGAAGCGTCAGATGCAGCTGGTAAGCCCGTATGGACACTTAGCTGACTCACTGGCGGCTGAGAACAGCAGAAGTTTTCTAAAACTTCATTATTTGTCCCTGTTTGCTGTGGAAAAAGTAGAAGACTGCAACCTGAAAAAGATTTTTCCCACTCAGGAAATTCGTTAAAGCCATCGCGTTCCACAGAACGCTTATGTACTATTTGGTCCTTTGCAGAATTGGGCAATTCATCACTCAAGCTGTATCTCTGAAAAGCATTTTCTATTAAGGAATCCAGTTCTTCAGTGAGCCGCACATCATTCGATAGGACCTCTTCCATCCCTTCTTCAGAATTAATTCGTTCTGCAGTACTTTCCCACCTTCTTTCATTTGCAACAGATCTTTGCTGATTAACAAGAGCTAGCGATGGTGCTACTGTATCAAAACCCAATGTTTTTGAAGATCCTACTCCTTCAGCATGAGTGGACAGCTCTAGCAGATAATCCATAGCATTCTCTACTGTTGAATAAGGTAAAGAGAATAAAGCATGGTCAACAGAACAAACATAAACTGATGTGAATGCAGTTTTTTTACTACAAGGAGTATTTATCACAACTAAAGAGACAACCAAAAAACACCAATTCATCTTTTAACACACCTTCTGCAACTCTCTTCATCTGTTTCTCACTAGAGGTAAAGACAGAACTCAATACTGACATACTGCAAAACAATAACCTAATAAGCATATAAATTACTAAGGAAATAATGTCTAAAAATTATTCAGCTTAACTGGAAAAAATATCAGAACTGGATGTTTAAATGGGTACTTACTTTTAACCTATGTTATATAGGATAAACAGTGTAAAATGAACTGAAAAACACTTCTGAGGACAAAAGAGATAAAAGCACACAAAATACATTCATTATGGCTAGGACCAACAGAAAATGTCATATCTAACACAGCCTGAAAAAAAACAGTATCTGCATTAATTCTCTGTAAAGCCACCAAATGGAGTATAGGTTGCCCATGAGCAACATGAATAAGATCAAAACCTGGCACAAGTATCACCTGGGCCCTAAAGCTAAGCTCCTGTTTTCCTGAAAGACAGTGTTGCAAAAAGTCTAATTCCATTAAAATCCAACACTTTCTGCACATGTTAAACAAAATCTTCCTTGTCCTTCCATCTTCTCTACCTTATGAAACTTATTATTACTTATATGAAAATATGCTAATCTTTCCATTTTCAAACTATTGTTAATAACACAATAATTAACTCGGTGTGCTTACTGAATTGTCCAATAAGACTCTAGATAAATCTGTTATTTTGATAAAGGTAAATCTTATTAAGAGTTCAAAGCATGACTCAGTAATTCCATTAATTTTCATTTTAAAAGAAACAACAATCATAGCAACAACTATGAGAGTGGTATTAAGATATAAACTCTGTGCAATTTAGGTAAAGTAAAAATGGCAATAAAAGCAGTCCTTTTAATAGCTACCCAGCTTTCATACATATACAAAATAAATATCCCTGCCTTCTTTGCAAAATACTCTTAAACTCAGCTAATCACATCTGATAACATGAATACAGATTGATTAAAATGCTCCATATATGACTTACTCCCCTTCTGAGTAACTCCTCAGATGTTATAACTCCTCCTGCATCTTATCCATTACTTTTATTATTAAGCTAATGAGCTTACGCACAGAATTTAAAAACTACGCAAGCATGGGAAGGACTAGGCACAGACATGAAAACAGTCTGCCAGGAGAAGTGGGTATGTAGCTTGGCAGAATACAGAGGAAGAAACACAGTCCAAGCTAGGCTGCAGAGAATTCAACATGACAAACAGAATTTATCCTGCAAAAACTAATCCTCAGTGGAGATGACAAGATGACAGTGCAAACCAGAAAGTGAAACAAAACCTCAAGTATTTAAGGAAAAGCAAACGCTGCCTGGACCACATACAGTGTACCACTGTCTTAAAAAAAATGTGGTCTAGAACACAAAATATGTCTCTTGCAGAGACAGTTTGTGCACCTACCAGGTATGGCATAGAAACTAAATGGGAAAAAAAAAAAAAAAAAGATTCTCCTCACAAGCCTGTAACTGCCTGTTCTGTCATGGAACAAACCACTTAAACTGCACCTCCATTTATACCGAGCACACTGCTACAACAAGTTACCAGCCTCACAGAAACACTGTCAAACTTAGGAGAATCCTGCAAGGAAGAAGCTGTAACATTTCAAAATATTATGAGTCACCTGCTCATTAAAAGCTAAACTCACAAATACGCTTGCAACACCTACACCAACTTTTCTGGAGTCACCCTAGTTAAGAGCTGTCTGCACATGCAACAAAACTGTAATGATAACTGCACATTATTTACCTTTAAAATCACATTCAGACAGAACCATATAAACCACAGTAGGATCTAGGTCAGAAAACATCTCTGACATGCTGTTCAGGAGCTTTTCCTTATTGACACTATGCACAGCTTGTGACAGTGAAAAGCTTGGGTCCCCTTGGTATACAGCAACAGTTCTGTCATAACTGCCATTCTTCAGAGAAGGGCTCCCACCAGTTTTCCTTTTCCGCGGCATTTTGTTTTCCAAAAATCAGCTTGGTTTTTGTTTTAGTTTGTTCACATGAGGCTGACAGCACCAAGCTCAGAAATCACAAAAAAAAACCTCGTAACAGGGATACACATAACAGAAACAGCAGACCTGGAAAAAAGAGAACAGAGAAATTTCAATAAAATATAAAATACACAGTCACATTTCCATGTCTCCTGTTTAAAAGGTAAAAAAAACCAAAAAACAAACCAAAAAAAAAAAAACAACCCATAAGGATCCCGGAAAGCATTTTCTAGAAGCCTGCCTTTCTTCTTTTCAAATGGCTGACAGCTAAACAGCAGCCTTATTTCCCAGCTAACTAGGTATTTAATCTGTGTCTGGAAGAAAAAACAAATGCAATGGGAGTTTAAAAGAAAAATCCGGAACAGCAGAAGCAGCAGTGCAGGGCAGCCAGTTCACAAATATTCCTCTGCTAACACCTACTGATGACCAGTTAACATTATGGAACACTTACATTCTGTTAACATGTAGAATCTTTGCCCCTCTTACACAAGTGCTGGAAAACATAACAGGCATCTCCAAATCTTCCAGAAGTCCTTCATTATTTCCCACCACCCCACTGCGATTTATCAAGAGTAACCAGGTGAGGGTCTTCAATGTTCAAACACCGGCACAGATTGCCCAGAGAGACTGTGAACTCTCCAAGCATGCAGATTCTCAAATCCTGACTGAACACAGCCCTGAGCAACCTGCTGCAGGTGACCCTGCTTGAGCAGTGGGTTGTGCAGGGTAACATCCACAAGTACTTTCCAGCCTCATCCTGTGGGAGATTTTTAAACTTTTTTAACAGCTTTATAAGCCATAAAGCCAGAAGAAGCTTCTGTCCACCACCACCCCCCACACACTTCTGCCATAAAGCCTTTGAATAAATTAGTTATTACATTATGGCATCTATAATAACTGCAATCACTGCATTAATCTTGTATAGAAAAGTGATTATTAATTGAAGTACAAGCACAGAGTATGGCGTAGTCTCACTGTTTTCTATATATCAAATAACATCAAAGCTCTGCTGTGTCCTAGTGATGCTCATAATAAACTTATTTATAATTTTTACAAGAAGACTAGCAAACTTTAGTAAGGCTCAGAATCTCAAGTTAATTACAGCAAAGAGTCGCTATTTAGTGATAACAGTTACTGAGTAGGCCATAAAATACCTGTTTCTATATAAAGATGTATCATTTTGCCAGTGGTGACCATTCAACATGATTCAACATGTGCAGATAAATCAATGGCAGCATTTCTAAGTCCACTTAGTCCTTCCCTCCATGGATCATTGGCAATCAAATGACAATGCCAGATCAGTGCCAGATTTGGACAGCACTTCTCCCAGCAATCTCTTCCAACTACCAAGAGAAGTTTTAGAATGTGTGGATGTTCCATTCCCAAGTCATAGAATCTTACATAAAAAAAACTGACAACTCAAGGATCCCAGGAGTTTTTACCATATGTGTATGGACCTTAGAGAAATGAGACAGATGAACCTGAAACAATAAAGAGGTCAGGGAAGTCTGAAATGCATGACAAGGAAAACAATACACAGGAAAAGGAAGAGGCGGACTTCCAAAACTAAAGGAGAAATGACAATGGAAGATGCTAGTTAGCCAGACTAAGCTAGGACAACTGCAGCTGCTTTTTTTCATTATACTTTTTTTTGGTTCAGCTCTCTGATTAGCCACCCACCCTTACACCATTCTCTACTGTCACAAAAAAGTAGTCAAGCAAAACTATTTAAAAAAAAGTTACAGCAAGTCCTGTTTCTCAAACTTGTATTTCTAATTGATTCATCCTCCAGCCAGTAAAGAAGTGGAGATCTAACTTCACACAATGTGTCAGTGCTAAAAAATTGTGATTGTTCCTCACTAAAACAGGTTCAGTGACAAAGAAAAGATCCTGCAAGGGAGAAAAGTATTCATACACCCTGACGTTACTGAGCAACAGAGGCTTTAAGAAGAACATTTCAGGTGTTGCCAGTGTTTTAATCCAACTCTCTTATAACAATCAAACCTGTAAGGATGTGCTGCTGAAAAACACACTCTGAAGCTAGGACTTTTAACAATCGATTGCCTTATATTGGGTAGGGAATATCCTATAGGGAAGTATTTCCTGAATTAGGCTGTGTATTCCACTATCTATTAGGATGCCTTACTCTAATGACCTAATGAAGTCACACATTTCAGTCCGCATCAATTTCAGCCAGTGAATTTACAGTGCATTACTTCAGGGTTATTGAGGTATAAACTGTTTATTGCAATAAATCACAGAAGGGAAAAATTCAGAAGGCAAAAAGACATCAGTCACCTCAGAACTTACACACAAGTCAAAACCTTGGTGACCCACTACATTCACAGACGCTAAGGCAATGCACAGATCCACATTTTGTCCCATCTCTCCATCTAAAGTCTTAATAGAATTGTAGAAATAGTTAAACCTATCAAAAGTATAGATCAGCATTGCCAAGGATTTCATTTAAATAAGCTATTTACCATGGCCAGTATTGCACTGGTATTTTGACAGAATCTCTTTTGTTTACCACAATATTTTCAATTAAATTCCTGGACAGATTTCTGGGGAATATCTTCTCTTGATATTACCAAACACAATAGAAGTATATAAAAATAGATGCCTGAGCACATACAAAAAACACTGTACTGTGAGAGATAGTACTAACACACTCAAATGAAAGGACTGATTTCTGCTTGCTTTTAAGAGCATGCCCTGAACTTTACAGACGATTTTATCTAGAGACTTGCCTTTTCAGAGATTCAAGTTTCTCTGAAAATTAGTTCATATGAAAGAGGAAACAATTTTAAGTAACTCAACAGCCAGTCTTGGTTCAGCTACATTCATTGGTTCTGGATAACATAATATGAATCAGTTAATCTGCTGTGTATGAGGGTTGTTTGTTTGGTTTCTTTTTTTTTTAAATTTCCCCAAGAAGGAAATGGAGTTGTAACAACATAATGATTTAGAAGAACAGAGCTGTGCTGAACACACTGAAGGGGAATTCTAGACAATTAGCCAGAGGCTGCAATATACTCAGAGGTTTGCTTGTCAGTTCTGGGCACCATCATTCGACACACATGCAATTAGAGCAAACAGCTGTTTCATTTCAGCACCGACGAAAAACAGTACTCCTGTGGCAGTCTCAACTTTATCTCTAAAACCAAAGCAAACCAAAATCAACGAGCACCTCCTCACTTATAGTTCTTCAGAAATACACATCTCCTGATATTAAAGATCTCCTCCTATTTGTCTCCAATGTAATTCAACTACCACAAACAAGCATACAATCAAGAATCTGGCTGTATGAAAATTACCTTACAAATTAGGCAATTTTACAAATAAAAGAGGTATTAAGATACCAGCATTCTCTACAAAGTAAGATAACTTTCAAATTACTTAGAAGAGAAAAAGTAGACTTGTCAGGTCAGGGCACTTTAATCCTTCTGGCTGGCCAGAGTTTATTTCTGACAGTAGATTATGAGCCTCATGTGTTGCCTGTTCCAGTACTCCTATCCCTCAGGAGCTGGATGGATTCATCACAGACATTCTGTAGGCACAGACACACATAGCCAGAGATCAGATTCCATTGCTGGCAATCCAGTCACTACAGAAATAGGCAGGCACTGATGTAATCAACCTAACACAACACACTTTTCTGTTTGATGGACAGAACAACAAAGTGTAGAGAAGTGGCCAACCCGGCAAGAGGATGGACCAAGATCCCAAGTCTCAATCACAGCATCTTACTAACAACATTCAACCTTCCAGTGAAAGGAAAACCAATTGTTTCATAAACTAGTTCTAAGAATGTGTTTATAATTACCTAGGGGAAAGAAAGAAAGAAAGATGTTTACAATAAATACAAAATGTATGTCAGTTATACAGAAGAGGGAAAAATATACAAGCTTTCTTTCACCTTCCCTCTCCATTTTTTTCACTCTCTTACCTAAATTCATAAACTAATTGATGAAGCATCACAGTCTTATGAAAACAAGTAAGAAAATTCTTCCATAAAACATGGAGTAAATTTAAATCACTGTACTTAGTGCACAGAAATTCCTTTGTAGAGTCATGTTCTAAAAGGTCCCATTTTATTTTCATTAATACAATTGTTCATTGAATAAATTAATCTGAAATAATAGTATAATAGTATAACAGTCATCCTGGTCTGGTTCCTCACACTAAGGGGAAAAAATGAAAAAGATAAAAAACCAAAATCAAAAAGGTTCCAACACAGGTAATGCAAATTTTAACTTTAACTTAATTTTAAGTTGTCCTTAGAAAAATTCAAAGTGCACTCTTCCTTATGATACATAATCTAAACCTTGCAAAAATCTAAGCGCAGAGAGGGAATCCCCAATAACCCTCTGTTATTTTTAAAAGATGTAAGATTTCATTTATTCTAGGAAGTAACTGCTAACATACACTTGCCATACACAAGCCATCCCACTGCTAACCAGTAGTGTTATATCAGCAAACTTGCTGAGAATTCTCCTAGAACTCTGAAGAAATTAAAAAAAATAAGGGTACAAATGCCCTTTCTAAAACGAAGCTAAAAGGCATGAGTCATGTTTACACTGAGGCTACATTAAGTTCATCCAGCTAAACATATTTTGTCTTCTACAGCAAATGCCCTCTGCTTTCTAAGAACTGCTATATATTCTTGGAGAACTGCATTTTTACAAAATCAGACAAAAGCTACTATAAAGCAACATTAGGCATCATCTGACTTCTGAAATGTCTGGGAAAACAATGTAAGTCTCGAGCTTAAGACAGGCATTACCATTTCATTTCAGTGTAACATGAAAATGTATATGTCGTTGCTGAATTACAATCTGATGAAGGCCTGACACATCCCATACATCTTTTACACTGGGATGTCTTCTTCAGAACCACACATGGTACCTTGCATTTCCAAGATGCCTTACAATTCTCAAGTAAAATGGACTGACTGCAAGTCCTATTATACATATCATCTCAAGTAAAGGAAGAGAAAGAAACAGTACTCAAGAAGATACAGGACATACAGAATAAAGAGAGACTAAACTACTTTATAGTGCCTTAGTAGATACCAAAAGTATTCACCATGCTCTTCAAATCAGAGATACTTCACTGCAAAACAATCAGCAGTAAACATAATTTTTCAAAGTCATTAACGAGAACTTATTTTCAAGCAAACAGACCAGAAAAAAACATTCTAACCTCTATTCAAGGTTTACTAAAAGCATCCAGCAGCACAGTATGTTTCTGGTTTAACTGTGATCAAGTTCAAATGACAAACACGTTGTCAGTATTACTTTTGTTCCTTTTTTAAAGACAAAGGAAGTCTCTGACCTTGACACAATGTAACATTTCACCAATATGACCAAAGCTGCTGGATTTGTATCCATTTTTAAATTTCTGCTATCAATTTAAAGAAGTTTAACTTCATGCATATAACCCACGTTGATTCTGGGGTTGGGGCTTTCCCGTTGATTTTGGTTTTTTGTGGGGTTTTTGTTTGTTTGTTTAAAATTCTGGGTTGCTTTTGCTTTGTTTTTTTTTTAAACAATTTTTTATTTCAAACTACATAAAACATCGCGTCATTTGCATTTCCTGGCTTTCAAAAAACACACACATGTATATACTGACATACTGGAGACTGAAAACAACCCAACCAATGGTAATTCAAAAACCATAGTAACAGCATAGAACTTACATTTTCACCTTCATTGAGCTGCCCTGCAGTGGGTCCATTCTCATCTTTCCAAAACCACCACTGACGGCACATTTAACAAAGATCTGCTGTAAAAAAAATATAACGCACTCTTCTGTCAGGAAACCATAGTTTCAAACATACAGATCAGATGCCAGCAGAAGTGGATGTCCCTCCTGACAAAAGAACGGTCAGAACACAAATTAAAATTGATGTTTTGCTCACAGATCATACAACTTTAAGCAAAGCTTTAATACCGGGCAATATATAGAATTGTTTTAGTAGATTAAGCACAGCTAACATTTTACTGACAAAGTACCCAACAAGCTGAGTTGAGCTCAAATGTAAGTTTTCTTAAGTGTAAGAATACCTTCTTGATTTCAACTACTGATTTCTCATCTAAAAAAGCTGACTAACATTAGGTAAATAATGTAACAGCAGCAGAATTAATTAGAAACAAAAGTAAGTTTCCTCACTTGTCTTTCCACTTGGTTCTTCACCACAATTCTTAACCATCTTGAAAAGGTCTACATATCCGTGCAGGTCAAGAAAAGATTTGTTCCATCATGTGGGGAATTAGGCAAGTAAACCTGGTACATCAAAATCAGAATATGTTACTTACACCGCTAACTTGCAGTGCCCCATCAATGCTAAAAACCCGCACTTCTGTTCATCAAAGTGGCCGCAAACTCTTAATCCACTGTGCACACACCAAAGATGTCAGATCTACACAAAGACCGACTTAATTCCAGTGCACATATTAGCCTAGAGCTCATTTTCCTGACAAGTCTTCCAATCAAAAAAAAATAAATTAAAACAAAGAAAAAACCCAAACTAAACAATCTATGAGCATAGACGCTTAAGTCAGGTAAAAAATTCGGCACAAATACTCTGTAGCATTTCTACCACAGCACATTGATGGCTCAATTACCTTATAGCAGTCTTCACAGGAGTCAGAGAAACCTGTCTCCCTTTTTGAATCTACCCTTCATCCACTATGCCAGCCATTAAGAACTGTCATCAAAACATATAGAGCACTTCAGGTAAGAAAGAACTTTATGATGAGGTCCAAATTTACAAAATAAAGGACCAGTTGTAGGCAGAAAATGCTATTCATCGACTCCCAAACAAGAGCTTTACAAAAACCACACCAAGAAAGGCTGAAACGCCATTCAGCAATTTTACAGAACATTCCACCTGTGAATATAAATCCAGCCTAGAACAGAGTGAAAAAGCTAAAGTATACCTGCTAACAGTGTAATGCTACTGGATTTCCACTACTCAGACTTCTGCTGTCTGAATCAGGTTCTAACACACACATTCAAATACAAAGGTCATTTCCGCATTTGTTTTCTTGCACTTTGAAGTCTCATAAATGGAGCAAAACAAGCATTTAAATACAAGCACAAGAGGAAAAAAAGCAGCCAATGAAATCAAAGTGGACCAAATCATTGTACCCTGTAGCTGTATTTATAAAAGCTTTTCTTTGCGGACAATGTTTGAGTTTATTCCCTAAAAAACAAAAGGCAAAATAGGGAAGAAAAAAATGAAATGCTTTCCAGCAGATTCTTCTCAGTAAGTGTAACAGTAGCAAAAGAGGCAGTTTGGGAGCTTTTTGTGCTCCTCCATTTCTGCCAGCAGTCAGCAACAGAACAGGCCACCTAGGCATTGCTAGAGACAATGCACTTTTAAAAACACCTCCAACATCTTTGCTGCGCTTTTCCTTCTCCCACTCAGTGTTATTCCCACCAGTCATTCCAAGGGCTTTGGCTATTTCAACACTTTTAACTAAGGTCCTCTTTTTCGCATCACATTCTGTCCAAGTGCAATACACTAACATACACATCTCAAAACACTTGTTTTATGCAACCTGCTCTGCTAGGGTTTTTTTCCCACTGTTGTGATTTTTAAGCCTTGTGCATGGCCTGGACCAGAGAGATTCTTTTGAAGCAACTGCAAAAAATAAGACTTAAGAGTATGAAACAAAAATTTCTCCAATTACACACAGTTCAACCAAACCAGCACAAACTCATCTGAAGTAAATGCTTAGGAAGTAAATACACCCTTCAGGAAGAGCAGAGCCATGTTTCCTAGGAAGGACTCAAAGGCTCTTCTTCACATGCCACATCAGAAGGCTGGCTGAGTTGGTCAGCTGGTGTTTGAGAGGTGACAGAAGGTGCCAAACCCCACACCACATGGTTTCCTTTTATGCCAGAAAGCTGCTCCTGATACAGGCCTCCAAGGTCCCAAATACAGACAGATCAGCTGGGTGCACATGGTTAAAGCAGTGAGATAGCAAGAGAGCCACCAGCACGTGCATTCTTCAGCACCAGGTCTGCTTGGCAACAACTACTTTTGTACTGGCTTTCTTTTGCTGTGTGCTAACAGTCAAAGCTTGGGACACGGCAAAATAAGTAGCCTTGGATTATGGAGCGCGCAGAAAACGGAGCCTGACAAGCCAGAAAAATCAGCAAGTAGTTGTTTTCCTTGTTTAAGTGGAAAAGGTTGTTGCTTGAGTTTTGGGATGATTTTGGAGTTGGTTCCATTTGGGGTTTGTACGTTTAGTTGTTTGGTTGGGATTTTTTTTGGGGGAGAGGGAGGGAGGTTGGGTTTGGGGTTTTTTTGGTGGGTGTGGGAGTTTTCTGTTGTTATTGTTTTGGGCTTTTTTTTGGGGCGTTCAGAAAATCATAAAGAGTACCTGCAAAATGCCCTTCCAGCCCCAGGAGAGCTTAGAGATAGGAGATCCTTTTATAGCTTCCCTCCTATATTCTTTTATAGCCTCCCATGCTCATGCACGCTCTCAGTTTTGAGGGGAGATCTTCCAGGAGGCAGAGCTCTCAGGCTACCTGGGCTGTCCCCAGTGAAGACTTCACATAGCTCAGCTGCTTTGCAGTGACCTATGCCCAGCCCCTAGAGCAATGTAACAGGCTGCACAAAGGAGACCAGACTTCTGGTAATGGTGGTGCTTCTGCAGTTCAACACCTGCAATTGGAACTGCTGCTTAAGACTGCATTCCTGCTCCACATGATAAAACAGCACGAGGGAGAGAAGTATTTGGAATGAGAAAAGAAAATTCCTGTCAGATGGAGCTGATACTTCCCCACACCATGTTTCCAGAGACTCCATCCAGAAGTGACGCTGAAGGGCAGTGAATAAAAGTAAAGCATCTGTGGAATTACAGCTCCTCAGCACAATAGGATTTCTTTTCACACCCTCTCCAGATGAATTTTCATACACACGTCTCTGAAAAACCTTCACACAGACAGCAATGCCTGGACCTGCAATTCAAGACTAGGAAGCCCTACCGAATGCCTCTTTGTCAAGATCAGAGGGATCATCTTCAAGAGGGATCTTACAGCAGGCATCTGCTACTAACCTCCAAACTAACATGAGAAGGCCAAGAAAGCAGTATTCAGGTCATGTGAGGATCTTAGCTGCAGTGATCACAGTAGCATGGAGTTTGGGGCCATATTGTCTGGACCCTGCTTTTGCAGAGAAAGGTTGGACCAGATGATCCTTGAGGTCCCTTCCAACCTGGTATTCTACAATTATGGGTACATACATGCAGGTGGCATTACGAAGGAAGGGAAAATGGAACATTAAAAGAACACTTTCGTTTTCTGCACTGGCAACACTCAAGGCTGGCAATAAATGCAAATGCTACTTCCCCAATTCTTGGCTTGCTTCAGCTGTTGATGCAAATGAAGACAGGTTACTTTCTTCTTATAGATGGTGCTGCAACTTTAACTTGGCTGGGAACAAAGGGAAGTGGCTGTCAAAGACTCGGGCTCCAGAGTGTGAATCTTCAGACCTGCACAGACACCTAATAGGGCTTCTGCAATATGACCAGGTCTTGATTCTGGTACTTCCACATACAAGGGCTTCTCAGGTCCACACGTTTCCCTTGAATGAGATACACAGAATAATTCAAAGGCAGCACTGTCTGGCCAACTTTCTGCAGTATAATCACTTCCTACCTGAAGGTCTGCTTAAGGCCTTCAAGTCCATGATGCATACAGTGCTGCACTCCAGTGATTCCCAGCTGCCACTTCCCTCTTAACCACCTCACACACTTTTCAGTTCTGTGACCCTAAATGAAGGTTTACTGCATACTAAGACAAAGCTGAAGCACAAACAATTTCTGAACTTCAGCATGGGCTCAAATTCAGAAACAAAATGAAGATGCATGCAGGTCTGCAGAAAGCACTTCCAAGGACAGGAGACTAATGAGCTCATGATTACTAGAGTATAAGAGCACAAGGTACACTGGAACAGAAACCAAGTTTTTCACCTGTTATCTATTAACCTATTCATCTATAAGGTGTTAGGTATCAACCAGTGATTTTAGAACAATAGCAGCCACATAGAGAAGCTGAGGAGTCAGGCTGGAAAGAGACATAAAGCAGTTTGTGAACTTTGCTGGTTGTCCACGTACAACAGCAACATAACAGCCAGTCCAGAATTTCTTAAACAGGAACACACTACAGTGACGCATACTCCACTTAGCCAACTCACACTGATTCAACTCACATCACACAATTTCAACTTTAAAAAGAAAGCAAGAAAAACCAAATCACAGAAAGAAAGCAAGACAGGAGTGCAAACAGCTTATTCCTGTAGACATCCTAAATATATTCTGGGGAAAAAAATAAAATCACTTATCTGGTCCCAGGCCGGAACTACATTACACAGACCTATCAGGGCAATTATATCTACTTCATATGTTCAAATGTACTTCCCTTACTGAAGCCACTATGTCAGTTGAACACAGCACACACACAGCATTGTACAGCTATTAGCTTCATGCAAATCAAGACAGACAACCTCATCCTAAGCTAGGCACATCAACAGAAAGCTTGCTCTCATTAATTACTTGATAGAGGCTTAAACCTGTCATTTACATTCAAAAAGTAGTTCACATGAGTTCACGTTATATGACTGTAAAAAAACATCAGCCAAATCTGTTTAGTTTTAAATGGTGGTTTGAGTTAACACAGGCAATTTTTGAGATAGAACACAGATCAATTACATAAAATAACTCGGGGCAGATCAAAAATCCCCAGTGAGAGGAAACAGGTGGAAAATTTAACCTCTTCCATAACCACAGCTGGATTCAGAAGAAAAAAACAATGTATGGCTTTACTTAATTCTGAGAGGCAGTGTAACTGACAGCTAATTAACACCCTGCTGACATTTTCACAGTGGCAGAGCCTCTGTAAGAAAAACAGCAGCAACTTCCTAAACCCCAATGATTAGTAATTCAGGAACTTTTATCAGAGCTAAATTCACATGCAGAAAACTCTATTTAAAACAATATTTAGACTGATTATGTCAGCTATTTAGCATGGACTACAGATCAGTACACAGGCAGGAGTGAAAGACAAGACACCATGCAATTCCTCAAAACTACAAACCCTCAGAGTATTGCAATGTATTCATTAACCAATTCACGACAACATAATTATCTTCTGTAAAACAGACAATGCCACAAGTAGCAATCCACCTACACCATAAACAGCTGTAAGTGTACCATGGATGTTTCCCAATACCCTGTCAAGGCTAACATATTTGTCAGGTAAATGCACTTCCATGTTGGTAACACTAAGAATCTCGTTTCCCTCTATGTCAGTGCCCTCCTAAAATATATTAATGCCAACACAATAGAGGGAGAGCTCTTTAAAAAAATAAAATGAGACCACAAAAAGTACAGGGCAGCCGCAGAGTTAAAAACAAACCTAAAACATGATAGGAAAAAGTCTATAAAGAATGAAGGAATTCTTAAGATGTGCTTTGATGCTGTTAAATTCCCTTCTTCATTAATCTACAGAACACAAACTACTTCAACTTGAAAGTCCTGTGAACACATGACACAAGCAAGCCTTGCCCTAGTCATGGTGACTGTACCTGGATGAATCACGGCTAAATCTGTCATACTTACAAACGTATACCATACTTAAATTTTTCTGCCCTTCTGTAATTCGCTTCAGGCTTGTATTTCAACCTTCAACCACAGCTCAAGACATACCATCTAAAGCTTTTATTTCAGTGATGCTGAAATGGATGAAGAGCAACCTGATTATCTTCTCTGTTCTTCTGCTTTACCTTAAGCACCCCAAATACTTTCAGTGTTTCTTTGCTTAAGTTCTACATGAATTACTCTCGTCCTACTGGAAGACTCAGTTCACACTAAACACCGTCAAAACACTGTATAAAAACATTTTACATATCTCTCGAGAGTATTTTTTTCCCTATCCCATTAAATCAGGCTCTTACGAAGGCCCAGTGACCTTAAGACTGTGTCTAAAGCACGTGGGAATACTAGGCTACAAAGAATACAAATAATTACACAATAAACAACGTTTCAGCTCTTCAGAACGAACGAGCTCTTGAAGTACTAAAAATCTTTTGATTTCATCTCGGACGGGGTGAATTTATCTCGCAGGGCTCTGTTCTCTGCGAGGTGCTTTCAGGATTCACGGGCACTCCACATCATTTTCTGGGGACAAACGTGCGAGGCGTTTCACCGATCCTTCCTGCATCGGTCAGGGTCGCCACACAGGCCCCAGCTGCCGGCAGAGCAGGCCGGACCGCAGCCCTCTCCGGGGCTGCCGGGAGCAGAAGTCACTACCGTTGAGCGGAAGTCTGGGCACCGCTTAAGCGGCCAACCGGCGAGGGAGAGCCATCGACAGAGAGAGGCAGGCAGCCGGCACCTCACGCCGAGGACTGCCCAGAGTGCTCATCGCGACGGCGACCCAGCGGTAGCTCCGGGGGCAAGGCCCACAGGAAGGCCTCCGTGGAGGGCAGGCCTCAGCCCGGCAGCGGAGTGGCTCACCCCCCGCTAACTACAACGCTCCCCCAGCCACGGCCTCTTCATCGCGCAGTAGCATCTATCGCGGCCCGTGGCCCACGGCCGAGCCCCAGTTGGCGGGCGGACCCGCCGCGCAACACCCACCCCGCTGCCTCGCCTCCCACCCGCAGGCAACTCCCCTCCAGTGACGCCTGGGGACGGGCCCCCGGCGTCCCCGGGCCCGCCGTGCTACGGGGACGCTGTGAGGAGGACCCCGCACGCCAGGTGGCCAGTGGTGTAGAGCTGTAGCAAAAGCCGCCGCATGGTCCGGCCGCCTCCCCGCCCCCGAGATGGCGGAGGCCCCGGCGAACAGCTCGGGGCCCGCACCCTATGGGAGCAGGGGGGGAGGCAAGGCTCCTCCCCGGTCCCTCTGCTTCGCTCCAGACCCCGCCGGCCTTTACCTCCCGCTGCTCGACTCACCGAGTTCCGCCGGTGGCGGACGCAGGGACTGGGGAGCTGCTCGGTGGTGGCCCGGCAGAAAGGAAGACTCCGGTGGAGCGCGCGCCACGGGAACACAGTGCCGCTCTCCGTCCGGCAGGGGAAGAACAGCCCGGGAGGAGGCTCTGCGCCGTGCCGTGCCGCCCTCCTGGGGCCCACAGCGCCGCCCGGGCCTCTCTATCGTGAAACCCGGCCGCGCCGGGCACCGCGTAGCGACCGGACGCTTCGGTGGCTGGGCCCGAGGTGGGCGGGAGTAGACAGTGGGTGCTGCAGCGGCTGGGGCGGGGGCAGCGGCTGTGGAGTGGAGGGCCCTGCCTCTGGCGTCCTGCGGGGCTCACCGGCACCGACACCCCTGTAAGGGGTCATTCCGCATAAGAAACTCAAACTGGGGGAGCAGGAGCCGCTGCCGCCGGTTGAGGCCCGGCCCGGCTGAGGGCAGCCCTCCTCCCCAAGAAGCGGCTCTCGCCACTTTGTCTAGTGGTTACCGGTAAAACTTGACTGTCAAAGCAGCTTCACGAGTTCACCGTCGAAAAGGGTGACTATGTGCTCTTAGCCGGCATGGGAAAACCGGCGTGGACAGACCTTGCTTGTAAAGGGCATGTTACTGGTTACAGGACGTTCAGCAAACAGTTGTTGATAACGGAGGTCTGGAAGAGCACTGAAACCTCATAGCCATGTAGTGACAGGTTTCAAATCCATAACAGAAAATGGGTGGATGTTTAACTTCTGGTGCTACTGCAGCTTCCAAAGTCGTAGCAGAAGAGAAAGCTGCTGCGGTGCAGAATGATGCAGTGGCTCTGGGGGCTGATGCTGGAGGAGAAATGGCATGAGTTTTTAAGGAATCTGAGGAAAGTGGTGGGAGCTGGCATCAGTCATTGCAGTGGATGTTATGAGCTGCTAAAGGAGGATAGAGGAGAAACTGATTAGGAGAGGGCTTCACTGTCTGCAGCAAGCAATGGACATTTGTTGAACAACGGGAGATTATGGAAAGATGAAAGAGAGACATGCTCCTGAGATGATGATAAGCAGCTCTTTAATTAGAACTCCTGTGAAACCACCATGAAGAGAACTAGACACCTGAACAAGTTTTGAATTTATCGATACAAGGGGCAAAGCTCTTAAAAATCACAATTTACAAACAACACCACTCCTCGAGGTAATTCCACTGGGAAATTTTTCTGTAGTTACATAGAAACTTGTCGATCTGAAGAAATTTCATGCTCAAAAAATGGGCATTCAAATATAATTGGAAAATTACTGATGACGTTTACCCGTTACTGAATTCTAAGAATAGGGCTTCATTACATTGCTGTAGGCATCCTTGTCAGCTCACACTGCCGGCCCGATCAAGATTATAGGCGAGGTCTCCACTTCTTCCTGCTCGGTCGTCGAATTCCAGAAGGAGATGGGTGCCTTCCTACGCCCATTGTTTTGAGATACCTCCCCGCCATCTCATTCAACCGCCTCCCATTAGGGCACAATGCTTCAGGAGGCCGTTGTCTGGAGGTGTCCCACTGTGAGCTTCCCGGGAATAGAAGCAATGAGAAGGGAGAAACGTTTCCCCGAGGGGAGTAAGGTTTTCCTGCCCGAAGGTGGCTCTCATTGTGATTCATCCCATTCCTGAACCAGTGGCATCCCCAGCCTCATTTGTCCTTCATTTTGTTTCAAAGAGGGGAGGGAGAACTAGCCTTCAGCAGATTACTGCAGTGCTTATTAAACACCTAATCTTACATGCTTCGCAAGAAAGAGCAAAAAGTCAGGGCCAGTTTTGTATCTCAGTCACTCCTAATTCCACTGCTGCTTCCTTCTGGGGCCTGCAGAGTCTTTCCCTCTGCACCAAAACCAACCTGTTTGCATTAGAGCTGTAACTTTAGTTTTAATGCCAACAAAGAACAAGCAAATGCAAAAGAAATAGCTAGTTTTAAGGTGAACTAATTATGCATTGGGTAGCTCACTAGAGTTGCCTTGTGAAAACTGCAGAAAGGTGCTCACAGTAATTCCTTTTGGAATTATTAGTTTGTAGGGATAACAGTCCTATTTGGCAGCACAGCAACATAAAGGCAAATATGTTTTATATGTAGGATTGTATGTATTTTACAATAAAAGTAATGCTATAAATTTTCAAATTAGTACTCAAAGCATTTAATGTTTTAGGACTTAAATTGATTCAGGCATTAATAGTTTGCCAATTACTTTGCTATTTCAGTGCTTAGCTTGTAGTTTTATAGTGTGCAATATTTAAATAAACGAGAACAAACGTTCAAATTTCTAATACAATACGTAAAGTGTATACATATTTATCCACAGGATGTGCTGGCAAATTTCGAAAAAGCTGTCTCTTACCATGACTCACTAAAGGAAAATAAATAATTATTCAATACACTGATACTGTACATGTCCAAAAATCAGGAGGAAAAGCTTTGATCTGAATTTGTGTGTGCAACTGATGGCTTCATGCATGTACCAGGAACTGTTTACTTACTTCATGCATTCAGTGTTTGGACAAGTTTCAGAAACAAAATAATTTTTCTTTAAGGGTGTGATGTGTTAATCATACGTTTGGAAAAATAGGTCATGTAAATTCCAGTCTAATGACTATGTCTTTATATTTTTAAAGTTGCCAAAAAAGAGGAAGAGAGAGGTTTCCAGTATGCTGGAGTCTGATAGCCTTCATTAAACTGCACTGCTAGTGGGGTTGCTGCTGGCACTTGATGCATGAAACTATGTTGTTCTTTGCCAGTTGTACATATTACAGTATTTGACACCATGAAAATGCCAGACTAATTTAGGTACTGGCAGATTTCTTGCTACCACAGTTAACACTTTAAACAGGAGGGATTTTGATGTCTACATAATTACAAGCACTGTATTAAAATTTCTTTTAAGTATGTGTGTGTCTTTTTTTTTTCGAATTTCCACAGAAACTTTTTCAAACTTAGCACAATAATCACCTATTTGCTATTGGGGGGAGGTATTCGTTGGTTTTGTTTGGTTGGTGTTTTTTTTTCACTCCTCTGTCGCTCCTTATGTCTACAGTTGGCGTGTTTTTACTTGGAGTGGCTTGAACATACCGCATGTAATCTGTGCTGTTTGGCTCAAGTGGTTAGTCTGGTCTTCACTGAATGCTTTAACAACAGATTTTCCATTTTAGTTTCTACACTGTTGCCTTCTCAAAGTAAAAATACTTTACTACGATCTTGCTTATGTTATAAATCACGTTAAAATAGTATTATTACCAGAGTTGGGCCATAAAAACAAGGAAATGTCATTCCTTTTTAATGTTTCTGATTATATACAGCCTAAGTCTACTCAGCAAATTGTGATTTCCTTTCTTCTGCACTCAAATTGGCTTTGAGGGTCTATAGTTAAAAACAATTAGACTTTGATTTGCAAGAACAATTTGCAGCAAAATTTTTGGTTTGAAGAACATTCTGGTGTGGCAAGAAAGACATGTTTAACTTTGTCAGTTTTAAAGACTTATTTTTACTTACAGTAACATATTGAACATACAATAATAAATACTGTAGAAAAATGCCTGAGAAATAAGAGTGCATTAAAAATTCATGCCTGCCTGCAGCAAATGTGAAATAAGTTATCTTTCCAGGAACTTAAGATGTAGTTTTTATCCTTATTCAGAATTTTACTTTGGACCATTAATATATACAATCACAGCCCTAAAATATCATGGTTTCTTCCTGAGATGAAAAAAAAGCCCTCATCTAGTTCCTGCAGAAACCATTTTCACAAACATTGATTCAGTCCCTCCATGCTATAACCCTTCCTCTTCCAGAGGAGCCTTCCACAGCCTGAGCCAGCTTTAGGTTTCATTTACCACTGGGGGAAATAAAAAGTGTCAGCTTCTACTGCCCTCCCTTTTTTTCTTTCTTTTTTTTTTTTTAATTGATTTACCTTAATGCTGATTTAAGATGTTTAACTTGGCTTCTTGGAATGTCTGTGTCTCCAGTTAATATTACTTTGCCCATAAGCTTGGAAGTTTGTGTTCCTACAAAAGATAACTATTCCCTCAGCCAGCATGTGATTTCCAAAGTAGAACTTTAATTCCTTAAGTAAAAAAAAAAAGGGGGGAAGGGAAGCATAGAAGTTTTATAAAACTAAACAAATCAGTACTTTGATTCACCTACCTGTCAGTAAACCATCAAAGGCGTTTGTTTATAAGGTTATTGCTGAACATTAATAGTTGTAGATTTTCAAATTCCTGTTTAAAGGCATTCTAAAGCAGTATATTACTAGTCTGCATTTAACATACTTGTACTTTAATGAGATACTCCAGACATATTGCAGAACAGAAATCAAATTTGCTTATTATACTAAATATTGACAGAATATATGGACTACAAAAGTGCTTGGGTTTTTGGAAAGGAGATGCAGAGAGATTATGACAATAAATGCTGTAATCCAAGAAGTAAAGAATTACACTTAATTGTATCTTCTCTGCAGGCAAAGAATGAGGTCATACTTACATAGCTGACAGCAGCCTCACTGCTGTAAGGATCTTCTGAATTTGAAATAAACTCACACTTCAGTTTTGATTTGTGGTAAATCTGATTCTGTATTGGATGTTCTCTGCTGTGCTATTTTTATCAATCTGATATGTCAAATTTTGTGGATATCAAAAATCCATCCTGATCTGTTTAAAAAGCAGAAAGGAAAAAACCAAATGATGCTTAGTATGCCTCCTTGGCGCATATAAAAAGCAGTTAGTTGACTCTCATTGTAACTACCATGGTTTTATCTTTTGAATATCACTGCCTTTATTTTTAAAAACTGCACTGATCCCATCCCATGGCAAATTTAGTATCAGAGATTTTAGAGATCAGTGTATTTAAGACAGGATTGAAGAATAAGGCTAATGGTAAAACTGCGTAGTTGTATTTCTGTATTATTTTTAAAAATCAGATTTAATTTATGTCACCGCAGTAATTAGACTCAGCGTAATGGAAAATAATAATAATTAAAAAAAAAAGGTAAAAAAACAGTTTGATACTTCTGTAACTTTACCATAGCCAAAATACGTTGTAAAAATGAAAGAAAACCCAAAACATCATGGGGGGAGGGGGAGGGTCCACTTTATACATTAATTAGCTGAGACCACCTCTCAAACAAAATGCAACAGCTATTTTAACTACACCATGCAATACTACGGAGTAGCTTAACAGACAATTAACTATCCGTTTGAAACTGCAGGAACTCTGTAAGTAGGGTGCTGTTACCTGAACTGGAATTTAACCAGGATGTGGAAGTTTATTTACTGGTTTTTACAGAACAACTGCTGTATGCTGATCAAGAAATAGGACGTTTCCAAGGAACAGTATTATTAATGGCCTCCATTCACAGGTAAAGATAGAGCCTTAAGAACAAAACTGCCCCAGGACAGAAAATCTCCAGGTTTCCAATGTGCAAGGTAACTGCCTTCAGGCAGTTGTTGAGAGGGCAGCCACAGCTGGAAGAAGTTGCACTGATTTTGAAGAAGCTATCTAAGAAGTGATAGCTACTGATGAAGAAGCTATCTATCTAAGAAATGCTAAGATAGCTACTGAATCGAATCATACTATGTTGGACTTCGTCTTTATTAAGGAAACAACAGGGCAGACAGAAAGGGAAAGAAGTGTGGTGGTTCTGTTGTTTTGTTTTTGTTTGAACAATATCATATGTATTAGGACTAAAATTATCTTATGTTCCTACCTGTTTAGTTTCACTGTGACAGCATGTAAAAACTACAAGATACCTTGTATTAGGATTTTATCTCATTAAGGTGTTCTGTATCACCTAAAGTAACTGTTTTCCTTAGAGCAGAACAGATGCTTTTCCTCAAATATATTAATTTGCAAGTATACTTAATGTGACTAAGTCATATTGAGATAGAGAATGAAACACTTGATACCAAACCACTTATTGAAAAAGTCAATTTGATATTAGTCAATTTGTATCAGTTTTTTTTTGACTATGTAATATTATATATGTATATATATGTAATATTACTTCAAGTGAAATTTTGGCTTCTTGTTACTTTATATCTTTTCATATTTTATGGGGTTTGTGATGTTAAAGGTTATCAGTCCACTTCACCTTACTAAAATACTGGGGGAAAAAAAAACATTAAAATTTTCAGTGATTCAGCATAAACCCTTTCTTTCTACTGGAAGTCTGCGGATGTCTAATGTTTGCTCTTATTCAGAAATTTTTAAAAACACTGGACCTTGCTGCAGAATGGAATTTCTAAGTAGATCCAATGTTATGTACTTGTAGGCAAGTTTCATTTCATCTATTAGTGTCACCTGAATGAACAAATACTTTTACCTGTCAAGACAGACTCTACTCCACTGTCTGTACAATTAATTTACCAGAAGTTAATTGCTTGCCAATCATAAGTGATACATGAACCCATTTACCTCACACTGCCTGACCTTCAATTAATAGACTATTAAAACAATATAAAAATCTATTTCATTTCTTTCCCCAAAGGGTTTCATAGAGGCTTTATTTCCAAGTACAGATCCTATACAAACCTGCATATTTTACAGAATTTTCTGATACCACAACTCAACAACTTCAAAAGTCTACGATATACAAGTACCTTGAGGTATCCTGCTTAGTGTCAATTTTCCTCACTCATCATTTGTTACACAAAAGCTGGCTAGCTTACAGCAACCCTTGCACTTGACTTCTGTCACAAACATCTGCAAATTACTCCAACTGCTTATAAAAATAAATTAGGGAACTTCTTAAAGTCTAAACCCACTAGCACTCACTTATGAATTAAATTTCACTAACTAGTTTCCAAACTTGAATAATGTGCCACGCTGCACGTCTTATGCTGAAAAAAAAGACAAGGAGATAAGGGGAGCAGGGAGTAATGTGCATTTAAAAACACCTGTATAAACTGGTTTTTTTTTGAAGGAAATCCTTTGTTCAGTATGTGATTCTTTGTAACTGTCACATGATAGAACTTAATTATTTAGATAGGAAGCTGACTCCATGGCTATTTAGTTGCTGCTGAATAGGGAACAAGGCTGCCTTTTGCTTTCCTGTAAATTCTGACCTTTTTGTTTGGTTGGTTTTGTCCCTTTAAAATCCACCTATCCTTTCTACTTTTTAACATTTCACACCCTCTGTCACTGGAAATGGGGCCACATTCTTTCCCAGTGAATAACACCAGCAACAAAAGAAACTCAAATTTAGAAAGCCACAGGCAGCTAAGGACCATCTTGAAGTTTCAGAGACACAAAACTACAGTCACTCCTTGTAACAAGACAGTCTACAGTTTCTGATTTATTTGAGGACTAGGTAAAAATCAGTTAGCTCAGACCTGCCAAATTCACAGCAATTTCAAGTCCAGAGAAGAAGGGAGTCAGATCCTAAGACAAGCTCCACTCCACCCTGCTCATGACATTCAGACTCGTATCTGTAACCAGATTTAGCTCACATACAGAATTCAGGATGGAGCAGAGGTGGTGTAATTTGGATCTGGGCTTATCTGTAATAGATAACTTATTAAAAAAAAACAAAACAAAACAAAAAAAAAAACCACAACCCCAAAACAGTTGATGTATCATGAAAAGATGTTTAAGCCTTTTTCAAATAGATGATTGAAAACTGAACTCTTTCAATTACTTTATTCCTCTGTTTACATTCACCAAAACTTGGAAGAATCATACAATTGTCTGAATCACAGAACAGTTAGCTTTGGAAAGGACCTTAAAGCTCATCCAGTTCCTACCCCCCTGCCATGGGCAAGGTCACCTTCTGCTAGACAAGTTTGCTCAAAGCCCCATCCAACCTGGCCTTGAACACTGCCAGTGATGGGGCAGCCACAGCTTCTCTGGACAACCTGTGCCAATACCTCACCACACTCATAGTGAAGAATTTTTTCCTAATATCTAATCTAAATATTTCATCTTAAAGCCATTCCCCCTGCTCCTATCACTACATTCCCTTGTAAAAAGTCCCTCTCCAGGTTTCTTGTAGGCTCCTTTTAGGTAAAAACACACTAACCTGGGCATAGTTCATATTTTCTATGTAGTTCTGCAATTTTCGAGCTATGACTTCTGGTTTTGTGCAGTGGTGATGGTTAGGAGAGAACAATGCATACTCCAAAACCAAGTAAGAATTTTATCTGTACACCAGTGTTTGTTATAAATTCGCCCATTTTCCACATGCAAAAATAAACTATACACAGTAATAAGAGTAGAAAATTAAAAAGGTAAGTACTCAGCAGAACAAATTTTCCCCTCATTCATACACACGTTGGTAATTATTTTCCTCAGCAGCATTACACAGTTTGTGACTGATGACTCTTAAAGGCAAATGTTTTGGACTCTCCTAATTGTTGGTGGTTACACATCTTCTTTTTGAATTCAGCAGCGATCAAAGGCACATACAAATTAATCCCTATCTGGATTATGTTTAAACCTATTAGGATTGAAATAGAAAACAAGCAACACTTTCATAATTTAAGCTTGTTTCATTTACCTTTCAACACTCTATGCTGTCAGGTTCACCCCTTTGAGGATGGCAGGTTATGTCACTCCCAAGTGTGACTGCAGCCACTGTCAGATGTATGTTCTTCTGCGGGCTCAGCAACAAGACATTACCAACCATGGCAGCACATACCCATAAACTAAAGCTCCCAATGTATTTTCACATAGCTCTTCACTGGATCTGGAACTCCCACTCATATGTAAACGGAGGGGGGGGGGGGAGCAAAAGAAATCCACAACAATCTCCTTTTTATCTCTGAATTTTAATAGTATGCCATGCTTTTTAAAAATCTTCTTGCAAGTTTGTCCAGCTAGTTTCAAAAAGTATTTTTTTTTTATCTTCCAAATATGCAAAACCAAAATCAAATTCAAAAGGAGCCTTTTACTTACTGATCACAAATAATGACACTTAAAATATACTTATGCTTTACTCAGGTCTATTTATTTCACCTCCTAGCTCTGCATCTTTCGTTTGTTAATGTGAAACTTCCTAATGCACAGCCAGCTGCAGACTGTCTACCACACACGTTCATCTTTGCTCCTTTGATTTCTTTTGCTCATTCATACCTTTTCTTGTGTTCCCATTTCTCATATCCAGCAATGGGCCAAGGGACAAACCTTTTAGAAAGGAGCAGAGAGAAACACCAAAATAAGGTTTTGGTAAGGCAGAATATTACCACAAATATGCTTAAATTCTGGAAAATATAAAGCACTTGGTTAATAAAAATAACAGATTATGTCAGCATTTGTGTACTTCCTTTAGAGTTACTTCTTGCTTGTTAAATGAAGCTGCTTCTTCAGGGAGATTAAGGCTCTATTGCTAGTTAACATTCTTCTCCCCTAAAAGTAACATTGCTCTGTTCTCTCTTACTATATTCGGAATTTGATAGACTTCTCAACATATTTTATCATTTAAATCTTTTTTACTATGAGGCTGGTGAGAGAACATATTGTTACAGGTCTTGAAGCAAGGATACATGCCTAACAGAGTGCATCCAGGCAGTGTCAAGCTAAAGGATACTGAAAATGGATGAAAAAATGGTTCACTCAAGTTTTCTTCTCATTGTGCTGGATGGTGGCTGCTGAGCAAATCTCAAAGGAAGTTTAAAAAATATTGATGAAGTATAGATCAATGGCATTCCATAAGCAAAAACTGACTAAAATCCCCCTGATAAAGTAGTGACTTAAATGTTCACATGCTGGCTAAAAGTCTGTGCCTTTTTAATGGTATCAGATAAAGAAAGTTCATGATTTTAGCATGCACTTCCCTGAAACTATAAATGATTAGGTATAATTATGCAGTGTCTGGAAGATAAAAAGAACAGTACAGAGGCATACTTAAGAAAGCAAGTGTTTATGTGCTTGATACAGTGTAGTTATACTACACTGTGTACACAGAGTACACATGAGCTGCCTTGACAAATTCAGATAGGATATAAATAGTGGTATTAGATGTTGGTGAAATTGTAAGTGGATACGTATCAGGCTACTTTACAAGCAGTAATCCCTCTGCTGGCATTTAATATCATCACTTCCAGCAATCACTCTACGATCATGAGCATTTTTATGTTCTGTCATGGAGAATTTTTGGTTAGAAATCTGACTACTGCGAACACAGCTTTTATATTACTAAGCATCTATGTTTGTCAGGAATATGCTTTTCCCAGTTCTATATTTGCTCATGCTTTGTCTAGCCTACTTCTGGCTTTATCTACTCAATACCTGATATTCTGTCTTCTCTTTAGTCACAAATTCATTGTCTGCTCTGTTAAATATCCATTCAAGTATTGGCTCAAATAACCTTAGATACCTTCTCTGCTGCCACATACCCTGAATTTAGGAAAATCTTCTTCCACTGATACTCAGTATTCTCTGCTGCTGAATCACCATATTGTCAGTGTGCTCCTCTGTCATACTGTCTGATGACCTGTGTTGATGTAAACACCCAGCGCATTATTTGTAAGGATGAAGTGACCGGAGCTGTACAATCCAAAGAAGTAATTTTATTTTGTAAATTCAAATGTAAATTGTTCTTTACAAGGGTTTGAAATTCCAACTTTCATATCCAAGTTCCCAAATGGTATAATGGTATAATGTTTTAATGATTATCCCCTCAAGCCATTCACAGAACTCATAGACTGAATGCTTTCCTAGCAGCATAAACCTATATGATCAATATACTTCCTTTGTTCAAAGGCAAACTGTAATGATTCTATTGCTCACAGTCATACCCAAACACTTTGATGCTTCCCCAAGTTTGATAAATGCAACCCCTTTTTAAGCCTCTGAATAGTATACCACATACCTATCCATTCACCATGAAATGACCCCATCATTACAGTACAGCTCTGAGACTGTTCATCCATTCATCAGACATCTTTCTTTGACCATAATGGTAAATTCCAAGTTCATATTAATTTGTAAAGTTTCATATGATTCTTTTCTGTACTGCAAGCAGCAGACATTGTATCTGTGAAAGAATTAGGAAGAGAAGCATCACAAATACAATCCATACTTTCCACAAAGGAACCTCTTAATCGGAGGCTCTTAACTCTAACATGTGTTAGTTCCACACGTTCTGATTTTTTAACAGGTCATAGGACAGTTCTCATCTAATGGGGCAGAGGGAGAGATTCTGCTCATACTGATTTCCCACCAGTAGGTAGCTGCCATGAGCTAAATGCATTGCCAAACTCCCAGTTTCCTCAGTGTTACTTCCTCTAAGCAGACCCATACACTCAGAAATTCCCCAGATCCGCCCTGTTATTTGAAAAAAAATACAGCAAACATAGAAAGCCATACACTACTACTACAACTATAGGTAATTGCAGCTTTCCTTGCAACCTTGCTGGGGAAAAAAAATCTGGGAAGGACTTTGCAGAATCGAAAAGATGAATTTGAAACAGACTCTTTTTAAGCAACCTTTGGCTGATGATATAACACTCTTTGTCATAACTGCTTCTACTGTGCAGCAAGTATTAGAGAGCCAATAAAAGGCTAATGAAAAAATACAGGCTATTCTTGAGTGTGCCATAAATAAAATAACTTCACTTAATTAACAAAAATAGAATATAAGCTAACATCATGCTTAATGATCTAACTACAGAGACTGTTCATAAATTCAGTTACCTGGGATCAAATTTACCCAATCAGAACCTGTCCAATAGAAACTGGAAAAATTTGAAGAATAGTCGATCCATCCACGGCTTCACTTATAAAAGCCTGGGGGAAAAAATCACCCCAAAAGTAGAAGACATGACTACTGAAATGCTTAATTTTTTGCTGTAGCTACTCATGAATGTGACTTTTGATAAATTATTGATAGTGACACAAAGCAAATTGAAGCTTTTGAGATGCGGTGCAAGAGAAGATTCTTGCCTGTCTCCTGGACAGAAAAGATGATAAATGCTCCTATTAAATATATTATTGGAGAAAAGTAGACTTGGTTGTCAGAAATGAATAGGTGTAAATGTGTGTGCTTTGGACACATCAGGAGTGGAGATGGAAATAACCTTGAGAACGTAATTATGTAGGGAATGGTGACAAGTCATCATAACAGAGAGCAGCTAGAAAGGAGGTGGACAGATGACATGCAGCAGGCTGCTGTGACTTCAGTTTCTGAATGCTCAAAACTAGCACTGGATCAAAGAGGCTTCTAAAATTCTCCTATGAAATCACCAATATGCAGATGCCAATAAATTGATTTTACTTCACTTGCAAGCAAAGGAAGCAAGTGCAATTGTTCTGTCAATACAGTATTTGTAAATTACAAGTGTATTTTCCAGTATACACTTTTCCATAATGGCTTAAATATACTGACAATGACCATCTCTGTCATTTCTGAATGTGTCTTGATACCAGAGGTTCGGTGACAATTCTGTATCATCTGGGAAGTATAGCTGTCTCTTGAGAATAGCCATGAGCAGGTTGATTAGAGACCAAGACAACAAAGGGAACCTTGTGGCTGGAGTCTACTAGAAGCCAGCAGATCAAGGGGACCTCTTATGGTTATCCTCATTATGCTATTACCAGGTAATAGACAGCCCTACCACAGGGGATGTGATACTGCACAAGTGAGCTACTCAGCAACATCAAGAGTGGAGGTAGCCTGCACTGCAGTGATCATGCACTGGTGGAGTTGCAGTCCTGAGGGATATGGGTCAGGCAAAGTCGGGACCCTGAATTTTAGGAAATCAAACCTCCAGCTGTTCAACGAGTTAGTCAACAGGTCACATCCAGAGGGTAGTTGGAACTAGATGATCTTAAAGATCCCTCCCTTTCAACCAAGACTATTCTAAGATTTTGTTATAACTGTCCTATCTCCAAGCGTGACTCAGAATAAGGACATTTTCAGACAGCACAGGAGAAAGCCCTCCTTATCAAACCCAAAACAAAATAACATGTAGACAGACTGTGGCTAGGGATCAGTTTCAAACGAGTTTCATCATACAGTTTCATCATACACTATTTGGTTCTTCCCTTTATTCAGAACTGGTGCTATTACATGAAAAGTCAGTTGAGTTGCGGGACCCTTCTCTTTTTCAAGGAAGCACTTTGTGTGTCCAACTGATTATCTTCATAAGATAATACACACAAGTCCTCCTCCACCCTTTCAATGATTTTGCTTTGTCTATGTAGAACATGGGAGATAAATGTAAATCCCTGTTTTTGGGATGAAACATGCTTCCTGGTCTATTCTAATATGAAAACAGTTTCACTGAAAATACCCTCCGGAATGGGACACCTTTTGGAGGTCTTCCATTATGGCAACCCACATTGTGAAGAAATCCACCTCTGACCCACCTCAATTTACAACAGATGTAAAATACATCAATTCTTTAGTAAAAATAGGTAGTTAAAACAATTAGGTGCTATTATCAAAGATATGTTACGCTTCAGAGTTTAGTTAGAAACCTCAGGAATATCTCTGAAGATCCAGGGCAGCAAACTTAAAGGCTGTAATTTTAACTGGAGGAGCTGCATGCAACTGCAGGTGGGAGAGAAGCAACAGACATGCAAAAAGAAAAGACAACCAGAAATAAGGACTAATACCAAAGAAAAGAAAAACTAACAGAAAAAGCTTCTACGTGAAACTGAAGACAAAAACTTATTTCCCAAGGTTTGATTTTTACTGAGTTCAGAGAAACTGGTGTATTGCAGGAAAAAAAAAAAAAAAGCATAACACTGAAAAAGTAAATAGGTTTTCATGAAGGTGAAAAAAACCCCTTCATGATTAGGAAGCAACTCACCAGAAATCAACCTGCTAGATATAAAAAACTGGCTAAATGCTAGACTTGAAAACAAGTAATTAAGCTTTTTTCCTCCCCCTCTTGACCTATTTGACTGTGACTTAAAAAATCTAATCGTGAAGGACCACGCTCTACAGCCTGGTTCTGCAAAGCAGGAGCTTTCAAGAGCACAGTTATTATTAGGAAGACAAGTGCTTTCTTAACCTACCAGATAGGATTTCTTACTTGTCTGCCCAGCAGACTGACAGATATGGCTTATTCTGCAATTCATGACATGCTGTTCTTAAAATTTAGTTCTTGGTCATTATTACTATCCATGCTTACTGCTCTAACAAAGACCTGAGGACAACCATTAAGCTGTTCTGGAAACGTGTGCATAGCTTAATTTAATCAACATGAATGAAAGGATTTTCTGTCTTAAAGTAATCACTCCATACTCTCTTCTGCTTCACCTGAAAGCTGTTTTGTTCTAAAAACCTTGTGCTACATTATTTCCCCTACCAGTAAAATCACCACATTCTTCTTTTCTTGGTACTTTCCTTTAACATCTCCTGACCATAACAGAGAATCAAGAGTGTTCAGCACCTTGTATTCCAGTCTGCTTATAAATTACACTTGCAGTGGTAGTCTAAAATAAGTTAATAAACAAACAACAAACATCCTGGAGTAAGTACATTCCAATAAAAATAATGGGAGTAAAAGTAAATAAACTCCAACAGAAATTTGTCCAGGTAGGAACTCAACAAAAAGACTGAAGGACTGGGTCTTATTATTAGACACAGCCATCCATTAAAATGCAAGGGATCATGTGAACCTGGAAGCAGAGTCCAAGTCAGATCTCAAATGCTTGCTGAAATTAGAAGGGTGAAGGTCAAACAAGCAAAGGCAACAAACCAGACACTAGCAGCTGTAATCATATCTGTGAGCAGACTTCAGGACTATTCAGATTAAGAGTTCCATAGGTCAGATTATCTGAAGCTTTTATGTTTGCACATTCTGAAAATGCCATGCGTATATTCAAGCTAATTGGCAGTTAAGTGTTCATTCATACCTCCCTTAATGGAGTGTGCTGTCAGAACCACACACTTTATTTTAGCCCTTTAGAACTTCAAATAGTGCAGAAGTACCTATCTTGCTGCTTCTCTTCCTGAGAAAAGATGTGACCGTTGCCTAATCATCCCAGAATTTGCACCTACTCCTCTCAACCACTTTTCTGATCATGATTCCACCAAGATTGATACAAAACACCATGTACCTGACTAGCAGCTTCTAAATTAAAGCCGATCCTCAGAGTGCTCTGATAGTTGTACAATACTGGGCTGGCAAAATACTCCCACCGTGGACCTAGGGTATGTCAGGAAGGTTGTGTTAATACCAGAACCTACAGTCAGACATTGAATTATACCAGAGTGGTGCAGTCTGCCACTAGAAACTGCATCTGTATCTAACGGCTGATTCCAACACTGATGCTGAGGGGTGATCCAGGTTTTCATACTTCTGATTAATCATTACCTATGAAAGCAGAAATCTAGTGTGAACCTCTCCTAGATACTCAACTTTCTACTTATGTATTTCAGGACTTTTTGTGTGATACTGCAGACACAAACCCCTGAGAATTAAAATTATTTTAATAATCTACAGTAATTGCTAGCTTCATTATTTATCTGAACTCTGCAAAAAGAGAGTTCTTGGTCCACAATCAAGAGTACTTCAGCGTAGGGCTTCACAAACAACTTCCTTGAGATTAAATAAAATTGTAATTAATTGAGCAAAATTTGACTTTTCAAGTGAAATCTTTCATATGCCACATCTAACTACATTAGTTTTAGTGTACATATGCCTTAGAATGCAAGATTTTATCTTAATTCTACAGTGGAAAATAAAAGTGACTACAAGTGCATGCATACTAGAGGCTCTGCACTGTTTGTCCTTCACTTACTAAAAGAAAGTTGTAGAAGTGTAGCCCCTCTACCTTCTCGTTCTCACTCCTACTTCATGAGCTGTTGTATAAAAATTTCTAGGTAAAGATGGCATCAGTTCATGAAAAACTTGTAACTACACACTGCGGATCACATTAATGATATACACAAACCACTGCTTTTTAATAATAAAAGAATATTTGAAAATCATATAATACTTTGGGTTGGAAGGAACCCACAAATAAACATTAAAACCCAGAAGTTCTGAGTCTTGAGTGACATTTTTGGGCTATAACACCCATAACACTTCAATTCTGCCCAAAGAGAGGCCTGCCTCACACCTTCCTAGCTTTATGCTTTGGTCAAGAAAAAAACTTTAACAAAGGTCACTTCAAATTTATTTCTTGCATTATTTTTACTAATTTATATTCTCTCCTTTTCTATTTAAACTGAAGACAGCTCATACAGGTTCTTGATACATACTTTTTTAGTTACAATCTTCTAGGATCTGTTTTTGACTTATTCACACAAGTGTATTAAAATAAGGAATCTGCACCACATTGATGTGGGATGCAAAGTACCTAAATTAACAACTGTAAGAATGAAAACAAATAATTTGTTAGCAGTGTAATAGTTCTGACAGTACACATTATTTTACTGACATCAAATAACAGCTGATAGCTAGTCTGAGTACTTCAGCTCTAAGGCAAATGTAAATGGACACTTAAATTGGGATTAGGAAAAAGATTAATCACTTGGTGTTGGCTTTATTTGTTTATTAAATCAGTACAACCTTGTTAAAAGTTATTCATGTATCCCACTCTTAAGGTCATCTGTCCATTGTCAATGCTCCAATCCATTGATCCTTAAGCCTCGAGAGAATCCTTTTATTTAACTTGGACTCACAGCTACATTTAAATGCTATGTGTGGTGGCACCCTTCTAGATTTCAAGATGAGAGTCTGAGACCACCTAAGTGTTCCTTCCAACTCCCAGTTATTTTCACGACAAAGAATCCTTCTGAGGCAGTTTCATAGAGGCTATGGACACTCAAGGCTTTAACTCCCTAGGACAAAACAAGGAACACAGGTATAGGAGAGCAATTTCCTACCCACATGCTATTGCACCAGAAACACTTGGGAGCGCTTCAGTCTTTGCACATTTCCTCCCACACCTTGTAAATCTGGAATTTGGCATACTTCACCATAATATTACTTACCTAGCCCTTTCCTATCATCTCGTCCTCCTGCATCTTTCCTGCATGACTGGCAGGCCATGTCAGCCCCTTTGCTGTGTCCAGCAAGGCCTCTGAGGAGCCATCTCTCGAAAGAGATCAGTGGTTCCAGCCTTCTACTTTTAATGTGCTCTAGCAAAAACTTTTTAGAGATTTTACAAACTGAGGAAAATGATACTTTTAACTGGTTCAAGTAACTGAGAGTAGTCAGCTGAAGACCCTAAATTAGTCTTAAAAGTCATCTTTCAGCTGTCATGCACCTTCCCTGAACAGGGTGGGCATATGGCAAACACTTTATAGCCACCTATGCTTCAGACATGCACATAATACAGACTGAAACCAGACAGATACATCCATCCCCTTTGCTACTGAGTTTCCAAACATACCCCATCTCTTGAAAATACTGAAGAATATTAAATTACAAAGACATTTTGCATGGAAGGATTTCCTGAGGTGGCTGGCAAGGGCTCCTCTGGAATGCATATTCAGGTTTCTCCTAGAGATTTATAACTAAATTCATGTTTGAGAAACTCATCTGCCAACAAGGAAGATTTTGGCATCAATGCGTGGATGCTGCTCTTCCCCCCAGCT